TTTTCCCTATCGACAGAGCAAAAAAAGGGCAACCTTGCAAGGAACAAAAAAGGATCAAACGGTAGAACTCAGCGTAGCCCGGGGCAAAACGTGTACCAACTCCGACAGTTATCGATGAACGGCATCGGACGAGATTCTGCGAAGAATTTTGGATGGAGGCGGAAGAAGGATGAAAAAGAGGGATAATTCAGACTATGGCAGCTATTAACGTTTGTCATCGGCTTCCAAAAAAAGCGCAGACTCACAATCAGATTGTCTATACGAGGTCTTTTTCTACGCGGAGATTTTTTAATGGCGGCGTGTAGTCAGGAGTAAAAAAGACTCGACGTCGTTTTAAAGTTGCCTACATAAACGGCTCATTACTGTTAGAAAAATTCCAATAAAAAATACAAGTTCTCGAGATCCACATTTTTTTCCAGTACCGATGAACAGCAGACTTCGGCATGTCCTTCAATTGTTTTCTTCGTCCGTTAAATGAAAGAGCAGAATAATATTCAGCAGTCTTCTCAAGATATCCAGTACCTTGATTCAGCTCCTTTTTTTTCATCTACGGACTTAACTCGAAGTTGAATAAAAATGGCACAGCAATTGAAAATCGGATATTAAAAATTAAAATCGAAGAAATATCCTATTTTTACGCGCTGGATATTTCGATCGCGTTTCCGACGTCCGGGAAAGTGCCAAGTTTTCTGATTATAAATTTACATCAGCTTCCAACATTTTCAAAATCTAGGGTTTAATTTTCAACAGCACGTATTATAGTCGAACAATCAATCAACACTATCCGAAACTTCGTCAGAACAATGCATAAAATATTTAAGCAGGGGTTAATGAAGCATGCAAATTTAAATGGAGAACCAATTCGAACTTGATAATAATCGCGTTAGATTCCTAAATTTCAAAATGATTCCAAAACAACGGAGTTTCCGGATCCAAAAAAGTGTACAACTTGTCCGTGAAAATTTCAATGACAAGTGAACACTTTTTTTTTCAACAAAACAAATTTCAGTTGTTGACCAAAGCGCGGAAATAAGAATCTACAGGATCCAGCGTGAATGAAATACAGCTGAATGGAATAATCGATATTTTTCCTTCAACGATCGTAATATTTTAAATTAAAGTCCAATTCAGAAAATAACATACCCAAATTTGGAAACTTCCGTAGTCCTTGACGACCGTCGTCTGGTCAATCGACAGGTACTTCCGAAATATCTCCGGACTCGGAACACAATAATTATCAAATCACGCAAGATAAAACGCAGTGAAGACTAGAAGATCCCCCTTTTATCAGCCGACTAAAAGCAACCTTGTGGGCCCAGAAACCCTTCCGACTTGCTCACAGGTCAAGCCCAAGTGCTGTTCTGCTGCTCCGAAGCTCGCAGCGCGTTCACGTCAACACCGACGTGCTGAGTCCCCCTGGCCTAATGCGACGCCAACCCTCCCGAGCCCCAATAGCGAGGTTTCATTGGGGGCGACCGTCACTCGTTTTCCTCCCCCAACACCCAGGGTGAGGGCCGCGCACGATGGGCTTGGGGCTTGGCGCGGTGAGGGGGAAGGAGCGACCATCTTGGGAATGAGCCTCAGGGACGCATAATGTGGATGTAAACGTGTTGTTGACATTGAGTCAAATCGCGAGGTGACTTTCTACCCGCGAAGGCACACAATCAATCGATGGACACATGAACACAATTTTCCTACAAAGAAAAAATTGAATAATTCTTAAATTACAGTATCACGAAAAATTATTGAAGTTCTTCCATCTGCTTTTTCTGAATACTCCACGTATTTTTCTGCCTTAAATCATGTACTTCTCCACTTATAAACTACCTTCGTTGTAAAGTGCTGGCCGGAATTTCCGGCAAAAAAAGCTACAGTATGCCGAAAATACGAGTGATTTTACACTTGTTCTTCGTATTAACGTAAATACCTATGCGGGGTTTTCTTCACGGCATTTGGCGTATTAGGAAGCGTGAATTCTGGTTGATATCTTAGAGTTTTCTTCAGAAAAAGAATTTTCAGACATGCCTCAAGCGCGCATCGATATACAGTAACGTGAAGTGCCTTTTTTCTCTCTCAATACTGTATGAAGAAATGCACGAATTATCCACAAACGCTTCCTACTACAGCATTTTCTGATAAGTGACGACTTTTTATACGCCCACTCTAATTCATTCCGGCGCATTTTACGCTGAACAAAATAACCTCAGTCTTTCTCTTAGAAAAATGAACATATCTGAACTTAGGATTCAATCCCACTATATCCAATACCTAACTTTTCCACACCTAATTTTACTCCAAAAATTAATTTTGAAGAGACTCACTTGAGATGTTATTTCTGTGCGTCTCACATCAATTTTCCAGATCCTATGCATCATGTAAGCCTGTAAGGGACACTTTCACAATTTAAAAATAGCAGAATACCTTTGGAATTCTGGACGATGAAGGTACACTTTTCTCTGATAATGAACACAAGCCCATCAGGCATAACCTAAGCCCTAAAAAATTCATTGACACAATAGGAAGAGGCAGAGTCGATAGACCGCTTTCTCACAAACCTGAACTCACTTTAAAAAAAATAATAAGACTTTTTAATAACTACAGACGATTTTTCATTCAATAACTGCAGTTTAAATATTCGTCTTAATGAGCTGATCGAAACACGACAAGGTCAGCGTTTTTCCTTTCATGTCCGACAGAAAATGAATTTTTGAATAAATTCGAGCGCTATAGTCAATTTTTTATCCTACAAAAACATCAGCGCACGTTAGAAGCGCGTACTTGCTGGCCCTATTCAAATGCAGAGGCGGAGCTGAAAAACGCCAATAGAATCTTTCAACGACAGCAGCACATTTCTCAGAATACTGAACCAAAATTGCGTGCATCGACTAGCGTGCCGCAGCAGCATTTTCTTAACAAGAACGGTTTGTTTGACGTCAGTTCATACCATTTAGGATCCCTTCAAGTTCCGGTCGATTCGAAAGCTCAAGAGAAATGCATAGGCAGAGTTCACAAGCAGATGCTCAGTGGCATGCTAAGCAACATCGCGACTCGCGAACCAGCTTCATCACGAACACAGAGCATGTTCCCCAAACACATTTCTGAATGTTCGTGCTGCACACAACGCGTAGAATCAGCCAGTCCGAAGACACAACGTTTTTCACACCCCGCAACTTCTCGTAATACAAAAGAAAAAAAATACTACGAGAACAAAAAAAAAGCTAGTGGTTATCGAAATTCTGAAATGGATCTACAGTAGAGTACAGTAAATATTCCAATCTCGAAATGGCTGCACATCGAACGTCGATAGATGCGAAACGAATTCTGAAACGCACTTCGATGCTTCCTCTGGAAAACGTTTCGTCTACTTTCATGCACGACACCACAATAATTTCAAATAAATTCTTCGACACTGTAAATACAGTATAAAATACGGGCGTCAACGTTCGAAAAAAATCAAGAGTTTGCCTCTGCGTGACGCTTTATACTTATAACACTACGATGACCCCAGTTTGCATAGAAAAATTAAGGTGACTCCGATAATGCGACAAGTCCCACAATACATAATCCATTTGAGGGGCATTAGCACTCTTTTGCATCAAAGAATAAAAATAAACTACGAAGTAATACATTTCCACAAACAGAACACGCAAGGCGAATTTCCTGCGCCTTCAGCGGAAAAAAATCGCCTTCTTTCGCTCACTAAGAACTTCCCCATTTCGAAGGGCTTCCATCGTAACGTACAGGCAGAACATGGAAAAATAGCCAATTTCTGCAATGCAACGCGCGTCGCTCTCGCCCACATGACATGCTCAACGTTCATCCAGAAAAAGAGGGGTTCTCTCCATACTCGGTGATAACCAGCATCAACTAAACTGATTCTTCCGCTTACTTAAAACTCTTACAATGGAAGGCAATGAAACGCTTAACCCACTTTCGCGAAATATCAGCTCAGCTAAATTCGGTTCCGACAAGGCACTGGGATACCCTCAATTTCTACACGCTTTTCTGCGCATATCCACTTTGTTTCAACATGAAAAAAGCCAAATTAATCCGAAAACAAATACGGCGAACAAAGAAAATTAGACCGATTTTCAAGAAATTAAAGCCCGAACATTTCGAGCTTTAAAAAAGGCGAACGAAGGTTCATTAAATTCAATTTTTAATGGTTTACTAGACAAATTGAAGACTGCAATAACTGCACTTGTATCATCGCCATGACCGATGTCAAGAAGAAACACGCAAATAGTGGTCACATGCTTGAGAAAATTTGACTTTCGACAGTATTTTGAAGTTTTCTGATGGATGAAGATCAAATTATAGTATGTTTCAAACTAATCCTCATTGACTAAAATCGTTCCCTCCATCTGGTTTGACATTCACTTCCAGCCGTTCGTCCCCTCTGGGGAATGACATCGGATATGGAAGGTCGAGAAAATCAATCCCAGACAACAGTAGAGAAAATCATCAAACACAGCATGGAATTTCCTAGCATACTTTTTCCAGCTAAAAATGGGTTAAATCACGATCGGATTTTTAAAAATTAGGAAGAAGTGAAAATTTTAAATGGACATACGAGACAGCGTGCGGAAGTTTTTTTTTTATAGGCAGTATTCCTTGCTAATAACCACGGCGGTCACACTCAAGCGACCACGAAAATTAAATTCGAAACAGCTGGAAATGTATTGAAAAGAGCTTAAATGAGAAAGCACTATACTTCGATTGTGTAGCTCCGATAGTTCTGAGAATTGCCTGTTGGAAGATTGTCACTATTTTCCTGTTTATTCGGCGTTTGAATGCAAATGAAGGCCCTGTTTATTATGGTGAATTGTTCGTCGAGGCAGGCACATTAGAAATTTGACGATGCGCCGCGCTAGATTAATACTAGAGTATGCATTGAACATTACTGATCAAACGTTAGAATCATATCAATAACGCCATTGTCACAGTGATAAGAGGTGGACCATGAAAAGCACAACGTTCCAAGAATCCAGAACACTTACTTGATGACCATCCTGAAGCCATAAGATTGTAGGCAACGGGTTTCCCGTTGCCACACACGTCAGCTTCACATTCGCTCCTTTGTCTACTCGATATCCACTGGGGTAATCAGTGATGTGCGCTGGTTCTGCGAACAAAGGCGAACATAGCCAGTAAAAGGTTACAAAGTCCGGAACTGCGAACAATCTGACGCATTCAATCAAACTAATGACGCAAGGAATGTCGAAACACGTAGACCTGATCTCTAGATAAATGCGAGCAACAACGAAGATCAGCTCTCCCCACAAAGAGGTGCCCAAAAGAAGAAAAAGAAGAAGGGCAAGAAATCCCGTTCGGAAAGCCAAGAGAGATAAATTCACGGCAGAACCGCAGGGATCTTTCCGAAAGGATCACAGACCCACCAGAGAGCCCTATTCGCGATTCCTTTCGGCGCCTTGAGGCCCCCAGGAAAAGAAAAAAAAATCTTGAGACTCATTTCGCATTGCATGCAGGTTTATTCGTTTGAAGGCTGGTCCCCCTCCACCACCACACACGGTGGTGAGTCCCGAGGGGCTGTGGCATCAGTTCACGAGAGCGTCTCGTTGAATCATCTGGCCAACTGGACGAAATGCGCGGAGGGACATTCCTCCATTTGAGTCAAGGAGCAAAAATAACGGGGGTCGGGCCATTCGTTTCCTGAGGGGCTTTGGCCCTTCGCATGGCTGTTGGCCGGGAAATAATGACGGGCTATCCTCTACATAAACGAAATCATTTCATATTTTTCCAAGGAAGTATGACGAAAGCTACATCAAGATACCCGCGGCAAAAAATGATAATGATGAGCAGGATGGTCAAGGGACAAAGAGAAAAATATTATAGGCACTATCTTTCCCATCCATACCACAGAAAAAAAAACTCATCAGAAACGCACTCTTCGCTGAACCTAAGAAGGCGCTAATTTTGAATGCTTAAGTTATCAACAAGATAAATATTTCAAAATACGCAAGAATTAGCGGGAGCCCCCCGCAAGATGCCGTCATCGAAAATTGAAACACACGGCGAAATTAAATAGCTGACGGAAAGCAGCTTTCTTCTTTAAAACATGCCCAGCAATCACGTTTCATTTGCTCGAAATAAAATTTTTAATCTTATACTTCTGGTGAGAACATTTTTCCGAACCCTTATTCCAATAATTTTTTCGTATGGACTCAAAATGGAAGTATTGAGCCTGGAAAACTCGAACCTCCGTGAATCTAACACCACTCCAGTCAATTTTTTTCTAGTCCCAGTCTGGATTCCCTTAGAAATAATGTATTGAAAACCTCCATAACTCGACTTTTTTTACTGGTCCCTAGAAGTTCGACTTAAAGAGGTTCGGCTATATCGTAATGACGAAACGTAAAAATCAAAATCGAAATAGCTGTGGGTAGAAAAGCAAACTACGATTCAAAGAGAAACTGTTTCAACGACAGCGGGTATCAAGGTAAAAAAAGTCTTCCACTTCATACATCAAGGGGTGTGAGTTTTGGATCACTTTTTCACACTGAACTTCGAAAAATCCTTTTTGATGACGCATGAAATATTTTTCGCTTCCAAACGTGAAATAAACAATCCAGTACACAGTAGCCCACAACATGTACAGTGCTACGGAGCACAGAAGTTTATGACGGTTGATCGCTGTCCTCTTGAAATTTTGAAAATGGAATATAACTGGCGTTGCGCGATGAAAAAAAAAGAAGATAGCAGAAGCAACAACAAAATTCTGTAGCTGCATTTTAAGAAAAATGAAATACTTGAAGGGGAAAAAACGAGACTTAGGAACGGATGACTAATTCACAGAGAAGGGCTTTTCTTCTTGTAGTACGGCTGAACCATGGCGTGATTCAATTCGTTCTTATTTCTCTGCCGAAAATCATACACGATACTGTGCTTTCATTCCAAGCCGTATGTGACTTCTTGTAGCAAGCTGCGCACCCGGTGCAGCAAGCTGGTCTTTCTCGGCAGCAATAAACCAACGAAGCGTTCCACACAGATCTGTACCAATATCCATCAAGAGAGACCCACTCTTGGGGCATTTTCTGCCCAGATTTCCATGCGGCAAAAATCGACCCGCGGCAGTGGGTAGCGAGTAGCGTGAGGCCAAGAAAAGTCTTCTTTATACCAATAATCTCGACTCTCGGGAAATGACCGACTTCCCTTATACATGAGAGATCAACCGCCATATCTGCTAAGCTGCAAGCTTCACGTCGTGGGACAAAACTACAATTTTGCATTTAATCTCACAACATATAATCTGTTTTGTATAAATTAATGTTCGCGAAATATTACTGGTAAAGGATTCCCCAAACATGATGAACAAATTTTCAAACAATAAGTTTTGAAGAAGTTGAACAGAGACCGCTGCGTAAATTTAGAACATCGTTATTTTATTTCGTAATCCGTACCATTCATTTGATTTTTACCTTGGCTACTCAAAAGCTTGCAAATTGAAGAAGTTACTTTCCAATGTGCATCTACATTCTACATTATAAATGCAGAAAAGCTGGATTCGGTTTCACGGAAATAATATATTCATTCTCTTTTAAATACTGTCTTTTATGCATTATTCATTCATTTTAATGCTGAATACTACTATTGCAATGACATGCGCTTCAAACTGCTAGCTAGTGGATTTCCAATTTAATGAAAAATGAAATTTTCCACAAATTTGACAAATGAGATATCAAGATAACTTGGTGGGATAGGATTAATTTGGCCAATTTTCAATGCTCTGATTTTATCAAACATTATATGTTCGGTCAATTTCTCTAAACATTTGATGCAGTTATCAATTGCTTTTCGAAAGGTGGTGCATACAAGTTCTGAGCCACCATTTAGCTTGCTACAAAACTTATGCATTTTTAGTTATGATTCTCAAGATTCATCCGATGAATAAAAGTAATGTTAAAACAAATCAGGTCTCAAAGATTTAGTTTACGACACTTGCATATTTTCTAAGCGATCCCGTTACTTCTGAATCTTTGAGCTTTTTCCCAAATAGTTCGAACTGCTCTCAGAATTAGTTAAGGATTTGTTCGCACAAAATACGGTCTCAAATCTTCATTGACAGGGAATGAAATGCCTCTTATTTTTTTCGTTGGAATTCATATTTTATAGTATGTATACTGTAATTTGTTGTCTTTAGGCGCAGTCCAAGCATTGCATAGATAAATAATCGCAGTACAGTATTACATCCGATTTTCCTTCAAACGTTTAGATCCGCTGAAAATATGCATTTATTACAAAGTTTTTCACTGAAGTAAAAAACTTTCTTCTCAATGCGTCTAGTTTTACTGTTTTCACAAATTGGTAACACGTTGACTGAGTGCATGAAAATCGTGACGAATGTAAGAAACTACGAAAATTATCACACACTTGAACAAGTTGCCCGTGAAATATTTTCAAATAGCGCTGCCATCTCATGGATTTATAAAAAAAAAATGCATCAGTCATTGAGGAGAAGTCTGCCAGAAACAATTGAAAAAACGCTCGTCATTCAAATGATTCCTGTGGAATAAATTCTGGAGTTGATTTGTTTTTACACTTCAATATTTCGGACGATGCGAAAGGACGCTTTTACAGATGATTTCGGTTGGACTTTCAATTCGCGACACGGAGTATGATTTGTGACTGTTGACCAATTTACAGTAATTTGCACGGGAACCGTATGGGCGAAAAAATCGACAGAGAACATATTTGCGCAAGAAAAGAAATCTTCTCAAGATCACCACGCACAAGCAACATGAAAATGTTACTAATATTTTAACACGCGTGTATAAAACTCGGACTATTTAAAAGATCGCTCCTGAAGAGCCATTGCTTTACCTTCAAAAAATTAGGCTTACGAAAATACTGAGATTTAAAATCTTCGTCGTGGCAATGCTTCAGAAACAACAAAAAAAAGTACCGCACACTGGTAATTTCCTCCCAATAGTGTCACGGCAATAGTTGCGCAGCAAAGTAAGACGAAGTGATGCCTTAGCAGCCATGCTTCAGAGCCGTTGAATGACAGAGGACAACGGCGGCATGGTAGAAGTTATTTCAAAATACAGTACAATATCTCAGGCAATGATGCGCGCTTTTTAGCACAATTCAAGCGGGCAAAAAAAATTGAACAACGTTTGACAAATCAAACCAATTCGTCCAGCCAAGCTACCGTTCGATTAGAGGATGCATTTTCCACAAATTGGTCTTACAGAATAACTGATGGGCAGCTTAAAATATATTATAAACTCCGAAAATTTGCTCACCGAACACAGTGAGTTTCACGTAAGGGCTGTGAACTATTCCTAGAGAATTTTTGGCGCTGCAACGGTACCAGCCTTCTTGGTCCCCATCAACCTCGGAAAACACAAGGCTACCGTTTGGAGCAATTTCGTGTACTCGGCCTCGACGAGAGAGCCTCCCAGTGTCTCTTTCATGCCAAATTATTTTCGGTGCAGGATCGCCTACGGCAGTACATCGCAAAATAACTTCGTCTCCGAGGATTGCGGATGAGTTCGAAGGAAATTCGATGATGCTGGGGTAGCCTAAAAATATAACGCATTTTCCGATAAGGATATTAAAGGAAAATAGTGCGTCGGAAATTTTTGCGTAAAAGCTGGAAACGCAGCTGTACCTGTAGGATGCGTTTCTTCTGTGGAGGACAAGGAACAGCAACTGATGATGCAATAAATTAGCAACCAAATGATAGCCTTCCACTGGGCCATCAGCTATGAGGGGGATCCTGTGAAAAAAATAAGTCATCAGCACCAGGCTAACGGTAAAAATACGATAGTAAGCAGCAAATGGTGAATTAGAAGCAAGGACAACAGGGATTAAATACAGGCGGGCTCAGCACGAAGAGTTCGCAACAAGTTCTGGCCCACAATTTAATAACCGTCTCCATCAGATTATAAGATTTCTCCTAATTTCTTGGAGAACGTTTCATTACCCTCGATTGTCAAACTTTTTGTCTTGGAGAATCCTTTTTTCAAAGAATTCACAAGTGCCAAGAATTCATCACGAAGCGGCATTCCCATCCGTTTGATTAATCACTTCATCAGTCATAGCTGGGAAGGCCAAGGTTATTCTAAACAAATACATCACAATGACAAGTTATCAGCCTGAATTATAATTTATCTTTAAATTTCCGTTCCACAGATAAACTAACTCGTTTCACAGGATTACATCTAGATGCACGAACCAGACCGCTAGCTGATTCTAACAGAGAAGGCATCCATGATGTTTTTATAAATTTCATCTGCGTTCTTTGTATTCTCACATACTTCCATCTCCGCACTACTTGTAAAAGAAGCAGGGCGGCTTTCGGCATTCCACAGGTTTTGAGTTGGCAAGAATTATCATTTCGGATCCGTGATGTGTATTGAACCGCGTGTTCTCGTACGAAATGCGGTTACCGTTCATTATCTGTCATCTGGCTTGGCCATCATATTTATTCTTTGAAAATCCATTTTAGGAAAGATCTTCTGTTCAATAACTGTGCAAGATGAGGGGTCTATCTATGTCCAGCCTGAAGGGTCATCCAGCCGTGAGTATCTGCAGCGTTTCATCGTTGACTTAACGTGGAATGAGATGTATTTTATCCTCATAGCTTCTTCCCCTTTTCGTTTGCGTTGGTGTTGGTTGCGCCATGAGTGCGCTTTACCTCACTCGGCTTGGAACTCGAAGCCCCGATGTAATGTGGAATCGCAAGGGAGGAACCGCGAGACCCTGGGAAGAATACGCCAGCAAGAACTACAAGTTCATGAATACGCGTGAGGAATACAAAAGTGCGGCACCGAAATTGGATTGAAGTTCATCTCTGGTGTTTTAGTTCTATCAAAAAATACGTTTTTTAGACAGTGGAATGAGCGATGTGCAATTTTCCTGGTTATGTCATATTTACTGTAGTCAGCAGTACGGCGATGTCCTGCGTACGACTCGAACTCTTGCAAATCCTTGTCGGATATTTTCTTCGGATGAAAATTTATCATTCTAATCTCCGCTGGAATTCATTCAAGTTAATATTCCCTTATCAGTACATTCCCTCTCTACTGTTCGACTGGACGATATATTTTCACATTTTTTTTCATTCGTGTCGCAAGAATTCTTTGCAAAGCCTCAGTTGATCATATTCCGAAATGCAGTAGCGATGCGGGATTCCCTTTTACTTTCATTGATCTTATCTTGTTCGTCAAAACTTTTTCTGAGCATAGGCACTTTTCGACAGATATGAAAATATGAACACCTTGAAAGACTTTCTGCGGGTTCTACCCGTCCAAAGGAATTTCCGAAATGCCTTACTGTCCTTGCCAAACCAAGGAGCACGAAGTCAACGTAAGCATCTTGTTCGGAGTTCTAATTTTTCAGTGTTATGAAATTTTTTTTTTCCAGTTTGTTCCCAGTTATCGTTGTGTATTGCATCAAGAACGTATACGCCTACTACTAGGTACTATGATATTGAAGAAGATCCCCCCGGGAAAGGTCCAAAGAAGTGGCTGAAACATAACGACGAAGTTTACCCTCCTCAGGCACCAGGTGAAGAACGACGTCCAGCGGTAAGTTTTTGAATCTTAGTTTGAGCGCGTTCGATGAATTAGTGTTGTATTTGCACAATTCCTATTTCGTGTCGAACAGTTCGTTTGTCATATGAAGACCAACTTGAAATATAGCCCATGGAAAATGTGGTATATCGCCAGTCTTATCCGTGGGATGAGTATCGATGAAGCTGTTAAACAACTATCCTTCATTAACAAGAAGGGAGCAGGTTTCATCAAAGACACCTTGCTTGAAGCGCAAGACATGGCCGTAAAAGAGCATAATATTGAATTTAAGAGTAATCTCTGGGTTGGTGAGTGATTTCGAGTCCTTATCCTCAACTACGTGTACTTTCATTTTTTTCTGGTAGTTCTTGTTTCCTCTTTCCCGATCTTCGAATTGAAATTATTGTGCTCCCTTCCTACTGAAATTCTGATAATTGTTCTTTTCAGCGGATTCACATGTGACCAAGGGTGTGGTTATCAAAGGCATGAGACGACATGCTAGAGGTCGATTCGGTATTGTTGAGTATTTCCACTGTCACTACTTTGTTCGACTGGAAGAAGGTCCCCCTCCGGTGGACTATTTTCAGCCCAAACCGACGGGTCCGGAAATGCTGGAAGAATGGGTTGCTGAGTTGAGAAATAGGAGAATAATTCATTCTTTGTGATAAAATAGTGCGTAAATAAAATTGTAGTCTCGCTTTGAAGTGAAGGAAGTTACTCGATTCCGTTTGATTTTCAAATTATCTTTCAGTCTTCTGTTAATTTCATTTCAGATAACCATGCATGTATGTACACTGTGGTTACTTTCATTATGGCTAATGTCAAGCGTCTGTGCTCACGATGGATCTTTGGAGGATACTGTTTTTGTGGTCATTTTGGTCCGTAACAAAGAAACCATCCTGCCTTATTTCTTGACTTCGCTCGACCGACTTGATTACCCGAAGAGTCGTATGTCGCTGTGGATTCGATCCGATCATTGTGAGGATCAAACTGGATATCTGCTTCAGGTAAGTTGGTAAAAGTTTGTATTTTAAAAATCTACGTCGACCGTACTCTGCGCAGTTATGGATCAATAGTCGGAGTCATCTTTACCATTCGGTGCATTTCCGGCATTCTGCGTCTCCCACGAGTTACCCTGATGAACTATCTGCTGCTGATTGGTCCAACGAACGATTCAAGCATTTGATTCGTTTGAAGGAGGAGGCATTCTTGGAAGCACGCAGAGCTTGGGCTGATTATGTGTGGTTTCTTGATGCCGACGTTCTCATTTCCAGTCCAAGCGTTTTAAAAGATCTGGTCGCTGCTAAAAAGCCTGTAGTTTCTCCCATGTTGAAAAGCTTTGGGAAGTACTCGAACTTCTGGGGTGCAATAACTCCGGACTGGTATTATGCGCGATCGGATGACTACATGGATATTTTGGATCGGAAGAAACTAGGAATTTTCAGAGTCCCTTTGGTTCACTCCTGCGTTTTGATTGACCTGCGCACTCGTGATTCTCAAAAGCTGGCTTACGACCCGGAGAAATTGACGGAATTAGATATTCCATTCGACGACATTATCGCTTTTGCGGCTTCGGCTAACCAGAGTAATGTAGAAATGTTCGTTACGAATGAGAAGCAGTATGGGGTTATTCCTCTGGTTGCGGACACTGGCAGAAGTGCGGAAGAAGAAAAAGATATGATGCTTTATTTAAAACTCATGCTAACTGCGATCACCGGAGAAGCTCTTTCAGTCTCGACTGTTTTTGACGACGAAAGTCATAAATATGTAAGTTCTGGCCTGTTCTCTGCCAAGTGCTGATTTTAGTTTTTCAATTTGATGTTTTATTTTTCAGAAACAGCAACGTGGGCTACCTGGCATTGACAAAACCTACATGATAAATCTGTTGAAGAGAGTGGAAAGACGTGATCGTATGGATTATTGTTTTCGCGAATTGGGCATCGAGTATGAGTGGATTGAGGCTGTCGATGGTTCAACTCTTACTTCCGAATATCTCGAGAAGGAGAGTATCCTGCCCTTCGAAGGATTCCGAGATCCCCATGGTTTGCGGCCCATCACGTTCGGTGAAGTTGGATGCTTCCTCAGTCACTATGAGATTTGGTCAGATGTTGTGCTCAAGAAGTGAGTTTTTTTCTGTTATCATAGGAGCGATTTGTCACGGAATTTTGTATTTCAAGGTATCAAATGGTTGCTGTATTTGAGGACGATATCCACTTCGAGCTGTCTTTCATGACGAAGTTGCAATATGCTCTCTGGGAAGCCAAACATTTAAATCTGGAATGGGATCTGATGTATCTAGGCAGGAAGATTCTTCGCACTAATGAAACATGGGTGCCTGGTTCGAAGACTTTCGTGTATCCGGAGTACACATACTGGACGTTGTCTTATTTACTGACGTTGGAGGGTGCGAAAAAGCTATTGGCTGCGGACCCCTTGAAAAATCTACTTCCCGTTGATGAGTTTCTTCCTATTATGTTTGACAAACATCCAAATTCTACTTGGAGTGAGTTGTTTGGTGTTCGAAACTTGAAAGTTATTGCAATATCGCCAATGATAGTTGCTCCAACGCACTATACTGGCCAACCCGGATATTTCAGTGATACTGAAAGTACGGAAACAGCAATCCCTGGTTTCAGGAGTGATGATATGCGCGTTTCGAATTTTACTAATGACCTCAATTCAAGAAATCGCCATAACTTACGACATGCAGCATCGTATCCTAGCTCATATGTCAAAAGAGAAATTATTGACGAGTTATGACTTGTGTCTGATGTTCGGTAAGAAAATCTCAGTATTCAGTGGCATAAGTCGGACTCCATTCTCAAAGGCTGTCTGCAAGATGAATTCACACTGCAAGCTGTGTTCATTTAAGAAGCTTGGTCTAAGCACATGTAAGGGATTTTTCCAGGGATCTTGAAAATCTTCGGTGCTAATGATATTTATACTTTGATAATTTTTAATGTTTCTTGTTGAATTGAATGCTTCAGAAATGTTCCATTCAAATTAAATTCTTGTGTTCAATTCTTGGTGGAATTTATTGAACCGTGCTATTACTGGCATTTGTGAAAGTCATTAACCACACAGATAATTTTCTTTGTTCGCAGACTGATGGCATTTCAGAGACGCAAGCGTGTATGAGAATTTGATACCCGAGTGTTTTTATTTTTTTAAACTGGAATACCTGTCGTGAACTCGAAAGATTTAATTTCGTATTACGATGATGTCAGCCCGAGTTGACGTCTGTGCGATTTCTCGCCTTTCTAAGCTTCATCAGCGAATCGGATTTTTCTAAAATTTGAGTTCATCGTATTTTTTCAGATGACTTCGTGCACTTGGTAAGTCACATTTGAAAGCAGCAAAGTTGTTCGTTCTTAAAGCCGCCTTTATTCTCAGGGTCGGTTCGATGATCACGAATTCCGCGAAGTTATTCATTACCCGACGCCATGTCATCTAGTTGTTCATCGTCATCATCGGAACTGTTCCAGCGACAGCCGCTTTTAGCTAATGGGGGATATTCCCTCTTGAATGGATCCGCCGGCGGTTCCTGGATAGAGGGAGATGGAGATACCACGCGGATCAATATTGAGGATGGATCAGATGAAGACGCTTCGCACGAGAACCCTACCGCTTCCCTGCATCTTGAACGATCTGGGACTGACGTCGAAGATTCCGGAATTTTCACTGGAAAAAAATCTAGGGATTTCACGGGTAGTTGGAATCAGAGGGATGTCACAAAGGTTTCACTACCAGCTCCCACGAGAGAAGAATATAAGTTCCCGAAAGATAGGTTTAAAACTTTCGTTGGTACGTGGACTTTTGTTTTCCTTTTTGGCTTCATTTATATTTTTTTATCACCGGACTTCTTTTTTTCGACAGCGGGTATGTTCTTCGTATTCTGCGGTACCGTGAACATGGTATCTTTGTCGATAGTGCATGACAAAGTGCCTGATCGGGAGAAAGGTGCTTTGCCGGACATCGTACTAGATAACATTCGGGTCAACGATTGGGCCCTCTACGTCGCCGAATATCTCCTCATGATTCTCACATACTTCTGCATTCTCATCAGCATTTTTCACAAGCATCGGTGAGGATTCCGTGTGAATATCGGTTTTGCTGGGTTGAATCTTTCTTAATACGCCTACTGATTCGTGAACCACATGAATTAATCAACTCCTAGTTGAACCAACGACGCATATGAAAATATTTCAGATTGTTATCGATTCATTCGATGTTATGGTTCTCAGTTGCCTGATTCAGGACTAGTGGACATCCCGTGGTTTCCCTTCAGTTCGTTGATAAATTGATTACTTGGTGCGCTTTTTACAGGTGGATCGTCTTTCGGAGATGCTTTTTCCTGCTCGGACTACTTTATTTATATAGATCTATAACGATGTTCGTCACAGTCCTGCCAGTGGCGTCGAAGACTTACGAATGTAACGAGAAAGCGGCAGAAACTTCTGCGAGGCTCATTTTTCAAAGAACTTTTGAGCTTCTCCTTGGTCTCGGATTGTCGGTCAATGGCAGACACAAATATTGCGGTGATTACATCTACTCGGGGCATACGATGATTCTTGTTCTCGGAGCGCTGGTTGTCAAAGAGTGTGAGTGTGGATTCATATTATGATACAGATATTGGATGAATTGAGTTTACTGTTGTTTGCTTAGATACACCTCGAAGGTGGTGGCTCTTGCATTGGATTACAGCGGTTTGGAGTTTTTCTGGGGTTGTGATGATCCTGTACTCGCGAGGACATTACACTGTCGACGTGATCATCGCGTACTACATAACCACACGGCTTTTCTGGACGTATCACACTTTCTCGAACAACGTACTGCCCAAGGTGAGACAGTTCGTTAGTTCCTAGCTATATCTTCCGTGTTAAAATATGTACAAGTATTTATCGTATTTTAATATTGCTTCGTTGTGTAGAGCAGGAGTTCATATGGTTAAACTGCAGTGGTTGATGAAATTTTTATTTATTTTTTACAGAAACCCAACAATGAGAACAATTTGCTATCTCGAGTGTGGTGGTACTGGTTTTACTGTTATTTGGAAAAAAATGTCAGTGGGCCCGTACCTCGAATGTACCAGATGCCGATACCATTTCTGAGAATCTGCCGCTGGTTAAGATTCCGCAATCACCGGCCCTGAGTCGCGTTGACGTTGACCTGGAGAAAAATTGGATTTTGCGTCACGCGGAAAGAGCAAACACAACGGGTGTATAAGCATGGGACAGGAACATTTTTCGGTATTATCAGAAGTGTTTGCCAAAACTTAGGGGGCAAGTGTCCAAGTTTGGTGACTGTTGCCTTGTGTGAAGCCGTCCTCAAATTTCCCTCTTCAGCCGTGGCTCGGGTTGTTATCCTTTTTTTTTTTTTCATATTTCATTAGAGAACCTATATTAGCTACTGTCGAAACGGGCTAATCTGCTTCTTCGATGTTCCCCTGATATATTTCCGCACTTAATGCTGTCCCGCTTGGCTGTGATGTTGAAATTTCTTTTTAAAATACGATACGCAATCGTCTAAGTTCTGGACCTGCCAGCAAGTATTTTCTTATCTCGGAAGTTTCAAGTGCTTGTGCATTTCTCAAGCGCTGTTTAGAAGATGCGTGTTGGATGCGTTCTTAGATCTTGAATACCATGGATGTGTTTTTGAAGTCCGTGCATGGTCCGGCAGTTTTTTTTTTTTTAATTGGGGGAAGAGGGGGGAAGCTGTTAAATTCTTAAAAGCTTTGCTTGTTGCTACTAGAGTTTTTTGAGCGCATTTTGATGATTAGTGTCGAAAGCGTATCAATCTCGGGACATGAATTCCAAGATAAGGACGTTTTCTTGGAAAGAATGTACCAAGATTAATACGTTTTCGACGCTGGTTATCAAAACGTGCTTCAACACTCATCGAGTTTCGATTGGGTGATTCGAGTCACGACTTATTCTTCCGTGTGTTTTTTTTTCATTGTGCAATCTTATTTGTATCGAAATGATTCCAACAACTAAGTGTATTGGTATATAATCAAATTTGTTCGAGAAGGGAGTGAGAATCTGCTGATGATTTGTGAGAAGAAAGATTAGTTGTCTTCCGACTAGGTTTTCCCTGATACCCCTGAGTTCGCTTCTGTTGACCCAGTGTTTCTGCGGATTGTGATGAAAGATGAAAATTGTTTGAAATTTGGAGCTCCAACGTGAACTGCTCGGCGGTCTCAATGTAATGCGTGGTATTTCATTTTCCAGACTTTTTCTTAATGTTGCTAGGTCAGCATTGGGACATAATTTTTTTGCTCGCGAAGAGACGTCTCGGTTCAAATATCGATCGCAAGTTATTTATGAGCATTTCCTTGCTATTTGATTTATGGCTTTTCTTGGAATACACTGCAGGAAAAAAAATGTTTGCTCTTCGAATTATTTTCTGAAATGTTCCATTGTAATCGATGCCTTTTCTTGATTTAAATCATACGTTTATGTATCCTAGGAAATGCACGAAAGCCAAAGTGATGTCGTCGCTGCTGACCTGCCGAAACTCTTCGCCATTTTTGATGATATTCCGAACACCGCGGAAAAGATTAGTGCGAATGTTGAATGCTTCAACACGACCAATGCTCGGATAACCGGAAAATATTCCAAGGTTGAAATTGGATGTCTTGACTTTTGTAAGTTCGACCCTCATCCAGTTCTTGATCATCTAGGGCTTACATTTTTTGAGTCTGAAAAATGCTCTCATTTTGGACTACCTCGCTGACGTGGCCTTGGTTATGTTGAAAAAGCTGGATGGACGAAGACTTGAGAACGACTGCGCGATAGGTATTATACTGAAACAAAATCAGCCGCTCACCTCAAAATCACGCTCTTTGTTTTTTTTAATGTCCGATTGTGAAACGTGTGTTATGATTTTACTAGACAGGATCGTTGAAGTGCGCACCTATCTTGAGAAGATGCGTCCCATCGAACGAAAAATGAGATATCAAATCGAGAAGATGATTAAGGCTTCTACTACAGGACAAGTGGATGTCAACGACCCACTTCTCATGAAAGCCAATCCCGCCAATCTGGTATCGAAAGTTCAGAACGCAGACATGAGGAATGACGATGCGTCCGACAGCGACACTGACGTAGAGGTTGACAGCAAAGAAAGAAATGCCGTAAAGAAATACGTACCTCCGAAATTATCTGCTGTACCGTTTGGTGAGTTAACCGTTCTAGTGTGCCACAATGAATCAGTCAAATTCTATTCGAATCAGTCTTCTGGAATGTTCATGGTTCCTGAATTTGATCGTTTAATCGTGATTTGAACAAGGAGGAAATGAAACGGTGTCCTCCAGCAAATTACTTCCTGGTGCTATTGTGTGGTCCGATTTTTAGAAGGTGAGCCTGGTAAGGGTCGTGAAGAGAAAATAGCCGAAAGAAGTCAGAAAAGGATGTTGAACTCGGCCATAATGCAAGAATTGAAAGCGGAATACTCCGAACAGCCTATGGAAGTTTTCGAATCAGGTCATGGAGTAAGACGCAGTATATCCACCGCTACGAAAGAACGCATCGCGTGAGTAAATTTTTTATCGAGGAACGGAAGTTCTTCGAATGATGTTAATTCTTCCATTCGGGGCTTTGCCTACCATAGATACGAAGAAGAAAATTTCGTTCGACTGTCTGTCTCGAAGAAGGATAAAAATGTGAGAAAGCGTGCCTTTTCAACTATTGGACAGATCGGCGATGAAGTTACCGACTTCGGCTTCGGATTCGGTAGTTCCAGTGGCGGTCAAGGATCGGGGAAAAGGCGGAAAACGAAGGTCAAGGGCGGAAAGATCAGTAAAAAGTTCAAAAAAGGTTTGAGATGATTTTTTTGAAGAGCTTACGCTGTAATTATATTTTCATTTTTTCAGGTGGAGGAAAGAAGAAGCGTCATTAAAATTGTGTTGCCTCAAGCAGAGAACCTCGTTTTTATTGATAAAAATATTGAATATAACGTTTTTGCCAGGGAATTTCATTTTTCTTTGTAAAGCATCTGTTTCAATTCTGCGTCTGACCACGATTTTTCTTCCACGGTTTCATGCAATTGTTGTTCTCGAACAGTTTGTGACATTGTTTGAAATGAATCGGAAGGCTACGCTACTGAACAAATCAACTATTGGACAATTCTTGAAAAATTATGATGTAATTTTGACCGACTGTGATGGTGAGATATGCATTCGAGTTGCTGTGAGATTTGCGTGCGATTGAAACTTTTTTGCGCTAAAGGAGTTCTATGGAAAAGCGGTGGTCCTTTGCCAGGAGCTTCAGAAGCAATCCGCGCCTTATCGTCATTTGGCAAAAAAATAATTTACGTCACTAATAACTGTACTCACACGCGTGCACATTACGTAAAAAAGTTGGAATCCATGCGATTTCCTGTGGCAGAGGTATTTATATCAGAACTATTCTTTGTTTGGACCACTATTTATTTTCCGGTCACATTTCAGAAATCAGTTTTCACTCCGGCATATGTTGCTGCGAACTATTTGAAGGAAAGGAAGCATGTGGGAAAGGTATATTGCATTGGAACTTCAGCGATCAGCGAGGAACTGGAAGAAGTCTCGATCGAATGCTTCGGTTATGGGGTGAGGTATTTCAGATGCAGTACTTCAAGGTCGGCGCAAAAGTTGATTCCCAGTGAATTAGCGGAATATTTTCTTGGCCACCGATGCCGTGTTAATTTGGAGCGCTTAGAGCCTGAAGAGGAAGTACACTACAGCTCGCCTCATTAATTATAATCTTGAGTTGGCACTCCGTCTGCTGTGCAAAAACGCTGTTCTTGCTTTGCTACAGAAAAAAAAAAACTTCGCTATGCTTTTAGAAGTTTAAAGAAACGTGACATCAGTTGTCCTTTTTCGGAATTTTGCAGTTTCGAGGCTTTATCCGTATCGCATGCTTCGTGGGTTTGACTCCACTCCTGGGATCTCTTGATTTTCTTCGAATAATGTTTTTTTTTCATTATGTGCATGCATTCTCATGCATGACGACGAATTCTTTCTCCGTACCAATGCAGAAAGATGATTTGGCCGCTACGACATTAGAAGAATGCTACGCGGAAACGTATCATGCTAGACTTGAGGAAGACGTAAACGCCGTCATCATCGGATATGATCCCTTCTTTTCTGCCATGAAAATATTGAAAGCTGCATCCTACGCTGAACGCCCAGGTGTTCTTCTGTTAGCCTCTTGTGAAGATCATCGAGCACCTTACGATATGCCAGGAAAAGTCATTCCATGTGCGTATAAGTGTCACATGTTTGTTGTGCCACTCTCCTCACGAGATTTGAAAAGTTACTGTACTTGATGATTGTCAGGTACGGGAGCTTTTGTTGCCGCAGTGGAAAAAGTAGCTGGAAGAAGCGCGGTAATATTGGGGAAGCCATCCGTGCATATGTACGAGTCCATTAAGCTTGTGCACGACTTCGATCCTCGACGTGCAATAATGATTGGTGACAAGTAAGTTTATGAGGCATTTTCCACTATCGACCGAATTGTATGCCTTTTTTTCTTAAAGCTGTATGACTGACGTGCTCTTCGGCAAAAACTGTGGCATCGACACACTTCTCGTCCTGACAGGAATTTCTACCCGTACCGAATTGTCGAAGTATGAAGAAACTGGAAAAACTGACAGTATTCCCACTTATTATGCTGCGTCACTGTCGGACGTTGCTGATGCATTGTCATCCGAGTAGATATTCCGTATTAAGGTTGTGCGTCTTCAAGAAGAGCGCCATTTCACACGTTTAGACAGTTTCCCGGGAGAATAATGTGAGGTGCAAGTTTCCGTTGGGGTTTTGAAAAGTTCGAGAACTGTTGTTTTATTTAATTCATTAGCTAAAGAAGGAATGAATACCGGTGCTTATTTTGTCGAAATTTTGCAGCTTCGTATTTGGATCGTGGAATAAAGCTTTAGACAATTTCGTTTCATCCAGATTTGTTCTCATTTTATTCCAACTTCTTAAAAAATCAGTCGATGTGTAGCAGTTTTTCGCTGTACTGTATTCTGATTGTGCTTTGAAATGACTAAAATACATTTGGAGGGTTTTCAGTCAAACGAATGATTTGATGATCGCCGCGCTTCGATTTTCTGCTAAAAGAATGGGTTTTTCGCGCGGGGTTTTTCTGGATGCATCTAACTGCTCAGATTTCCTTAAAACCTTCGACTGCGTCTTGGCGGATTGCGATGGTATGCCTGGTTGGAATTTTCGAAAAAATTTTGAATAATTTGTTGTAATTCTTGCAGGCGTTCTTTGGAGAGGCGATTCTGCTATCCCAAATGCACCGAAGGTCATGCAAAAATTTGCTGAAGCAGGAAAGAAATTGTTTTACGTCACGAACAACAGCACTAAAAGTCGAGCAGCGTATCTGAAGAAGTTTCATCAGCTTGGATTCCCTGCTTCAACTGTAGGTATTTTAAAAATAGACGGATACTTTTTACGTGATGCTACCGAAAATTTCACTTGTAGGAAAATATTTACGGAACGTCCACAATTGTTGCAGCATACCTAAAAAGCATCAATTTTCGTAAGAAAGCCTACTGTATCGGAACGACTGGTCTGAAAGATGAATTGGATGCAGCCGGAATTCAGCATGTCGGCTTTGGTGTAAGTTCGCTTTTAAACTTTTGTTTTGTATCACCTTGACTTCATTTGTAGTGCTTTCTTTTTAGCCGGATGTTTCTAGTCACGATTCTCATTTGGAAATGGTCAAGGACGTAGTTTTGGAAGAGGACGTTGGTGCTGTGGTTGTTGGGTTTGATCCGCACTTCTCGTACTTGAAAATGCTGAAGGGTGCTACTTATTTGAACAAAGGCGAAACGCTCTTTCTGGCAACAAATACGGATGCACGATTCCCTCATGGATCTAATGGAATCATAATGCCTGGTGAGTGATTTATAGCAGAGCGCATCTGTTCGTCATAATTTGATGCGCATAATCTTCCAAGGAACGGGGACTTTCGTGAGCGCCATGGAAACGGTTTCTCAAAGAAAGCCCTTGATTTTTGGGAAGCCGAATTCTAATATGTTTGATGCGATAAAAAGTGAGCATGGCATTGATCCGGCAAGAACAATCATGATCGGGGACAAGTGAGATTATTGAATTGCAGTCCATTAAGATGCATTACCTATTCAATGCATCTATGATTTTCAGTTGTCACACTGATATCCTCCTGGGGAAAAACTGCGGTCTGCGCACGCTGCTAGTCCTCACAGGAGTCACGTCAGAAGATGATCTTGACAACTTTCGTAGATCGAAAAACGAATCGCATTTATTGCCCGATTTCTTCATCAATTCGCTCGGGGATCTTCTGCATCTTATGTAGAAGCATCAGCATTCATTGTTCCTGCGGAAAATTATGACTTTGTGTGTACAGTACATACGTTCTGTAAATTAGCTTGCTAATGTAAACTTGCATTTCAGCTGATTTTTCCGTTTGAACCAATTGTATTATGTATCCGTTGGGCTTCCTTGGAATTGAAATCTGAATGCCACACCGGACGCACCAAAATTAACTTGACCAGTGATGAAGGCGTGATATAGCAGCAATTTAATTCAGGTGCTATGCGGTGCAATTAGAGATTTTTTTTTGAATTTCTTGTCTCCAAGCATAAGATGCATTAATGTCTATTGATCAAGAATTTATTGAATGGGAATCTCGTATCCCGTTGACGTTTGTGAAGGCATTAAAGCTGCCTGTTTCTCAAAATTTAAATTCGAATTGGTGGGTTCATGGTTCGAACGCCCGAGTAAAATTGGCGAAAGATCCCTGTGGAATTTCCCGTGAATCCCGAAGTGATGTACAAGCATAGTTATCAGTGGGTGATCTGCGCCGATTTTGCAATTATTAGCCTTATATTTTAGAATTTCCTCTAAAAGTTGAGTGTTTTCAGTTGATGGTGAAGAGAAACCCACCATTGCTAACACAATTGTGAAAATGCAGAGTATGAGGTGCCCTGAGCTCTGTGGCGTCCTTTATATTACCTGGTCCATTTGTATGTGATGAACATCTGTCCAACTAAGAGGGCGGATCAATGCTTAGCCTTTTTTCACCTGTGAAAGGTTTTTTTCGAGAAACGTTCTCAAAATGCAAACGTACGTTTGAATTGAGAAGATAACTCTTAGTGGATTATTCGTAAATTTTACCCGCCTTACAGAAATGGCGCCACATTATAGATTGCTGAGATTACTTTTTCTTGAAGCCTTCCTTTTGAAGGTTGCATTGGCGCGTTCCATTTCTGAAATTGACTATGCGGTGTACGAACCGAAAAGCTTCAATATTGAGAAGGACGTTGGATTTTCTAGCGGCGACGAGGGCTTCGAAGTGGAAGAGGATGTGCCCGGAGTTGATGTGAATGTCTTTGTTCCCGTGGATGGGGTTGATAATGACGTGGCCAATAGGGTGAATGGGGAATTAATTCCCCCGAGATACGAAAATCTTCCATGGCATGAAATCTTCCTTGATGGTAATGACACGAACTTTTATCTACATATAGGGTGGACCACCCGAAAATAGCCCGATTTTCAAACTGCGTTATTTCCAGTATGATTTAAAATGTTTAGTTATAAAAATATTTCAACTTGTTGAGTTTAAATGTAATTCAGTACTTCTGAATTGTTGTATTTTGCTTGAAAGACGAATTGATGATTCGTAATGGACGAAAGCTCTTGGTTATGGCAGTCAAGCTGATGTTTTTTCGCTCATCATATAAGTTTTTTATTTATTTCATGTGTAAGAGCTGCACATTTTATCAAGTGTTCCTGTGCTTCGTTAATTCTCTAAGTTTTCCTGTATTTTTTGTGAGAAGACAATCGATAATTGCTTTCTCCAAATCACAGCAAAGCTAATTTATCGCAAGAATTATCGCTGGTGGGCGGATCATCCGGAATACGCTTGGCTGTTCATTCTTGGAGGTCTAACTATTTTCACATTGGTGGTGTTGTTCATGCTCTGCATTTGTTACTATCTGGTATACCGATATTTCTGCATTGACCTGCTGAGCTGTGATCTCTTTGAAGAGGATATTGCGAGATATTGCGCTGATGATGGTGAGATTCATTCCTTGACTAATCCACATTTTATCACCTTTGATGAACAATCTGTGTGCCTATCACTAATAACGCTGAAATTTCTCGCAGCACCAACGTATCCGTCGAAGTTGCAATGGATTGAAGATTATTGCGATAAGCATCGCCGTTGTCGGGATAGAGGATATGTTTGAGAATCTGAGTTTTTGAACTTAATCGAAATGAATTATCCATGTAAAATATTCATTTAATGTCTGTCCCATTCCTCGTCAAAATGCAGGCTGTTTTAAGCTATATGTGTTCCTATGATTTGACCGCTAGTTCAAGTGTGGGTTGTATGGGGGTATTCCTTTGAGTACGCTGTTGTGCCAAGAATACTTATTCAAAACGGTATCATTTATGCACTTCGTGGTGAAGTTGTTCATCTTCATTCCAGGCGTACGTCCGAAAGAAATTTGCAATTTGGACGGAACAATGCAGGATGCGTTCATTTTCCACACGCAACATGTAGAGCAATCGTTTTGATTCATAAATTCGTGGGTATGAGCTTTCGTCAGACGTGATTCAATTAGCGAGTCTTGATATTTGTCAGCTTTTCAATGCGTCAATAACTAGGGGTTCTTCTGTGAATCCTACTTTGTCATCATTGACATCCGAGACATGCTGAAAGACATGATTATGCACACAATCTGGTTCACTAAAATAATATGAACGAATTTATATGGGAACATCTTCCTGGTTGGGTCCTTCGCGACCTAATACAGCTAGTATAGTACAGTCATTCGATTAACTTTTTGAACCAACTTGCTGAATGCTGCATTCAAGGCTCAAATGGTTCGTTTCTTTTGATTGCTTTCGCGCCCTGCGTTAGTTAGTCATCAGCTCGTAACGTATTGCTGCTTTCATTTTTCTTTGATCAACTTCGCAAAATTGGACCTGATCGATATGGGGAACATGACGTCTCACATTGAGCAGTTACAAAAATCACACGAAACGTCAATCGGGCTCGCGCTTTTTCGATGGGTGATGCTTCTCGTTAGTTAAGGCAGCCGCGTTACAAAAACACGAAGGATTCCATCGAAATAGACAACCGTTCGACAAAAAATAAAATAAAAATACACTGGAGCGGCAGAACGTCATCATTGGATCGTCTCAAATTCTCAATCGACCTGTGGGTCTCCCGGCCATTGAAAAAAAAAAGTATTCCACCCTAAAAACCTCGACGAAGGGCAAAAACAAGAGAACGGGTGCTGTTTGTGCGATAATTTTCTCCAACATTCGTGCGGATCAAGTTTCTGCAGCCTCCTTCGTTTCGGTCGGCATTTCGGCTGCTCGAAGCTTGTCCCAGTTGGCACCCATTCGTGACAGTGCCACGAGGCAGTTCCAACCCCGGACCCATTTCTTCTTGTTTTCCAGGTATGTGCGCATGTTCTTCTTGTGCGACGCCGGTAGAGGATTTTCTTTTGAAGTTTGCAACCATGGGTGTTGCTGGCTCTCGGCTGCCGTCATCCGTGTTCCTCCGCTGTGGTGATTTTTGAGTTGAAATGAAAGAAAAAGAAAAAAACGAAGTCCCATGCAAAATACCTGTACTGAGCTACTGCTGATAATTGTGATTTTCATCACCCCATACGGGATACTGAGCGGGTATTGCACCGTCCTGCTTCTCCGCGTGAGAAGACATATACTGTACTCATGTACCGGCGCATTCTAAATAGCTTAATATTGCTGAATAAGGGCGCAATCGGTACAGCTTTTTGTGAATATGAGACGAACTGGCGGGATTCAGAGTCAGTTAATGTCACACATTTGTTCTTCAGCGTTTCCAGCTCTCATGTGCAATGTGGATTTTCAATGCTTGGGAGAGCGAGCGCTTTTAATTCACTGTATTTACCGTAAAATTAAACTGCAAAACTGCGCTAACGCAACTTATCCATCCATTTCTATTTTCTTTATTTCACAATTCTGCATGCATCGTGCTGCATGTGTAACGTATATAATACGGCAAAATAAAGGAGTAGAACTGGCCCCATTCTGCACAGGTGGTACCCCGCAATGCAACACTAATCTGTTACCAGACTAGGGTCGAATTTTGAAGCACTGTAAAAGTAAGAAACAGCAGCAAAAAGTAATAATGAAGCGGCTGAAGGCGGTCAGATTGCGAGTCAACCTCCCGCAATTCGACTGTCCCACCACAATTCTACTGTACTGCTATTTCAAGGTCAAATTTGTTGGAAGGTTGAATTGACATGTATTTACTTGAGTAAATATATAACTTGTAGGTACCATACGCTGTTGTATGAGATGCGCACCAGGAGTTTTTTAATTCTACTGTACTGCTATTTCAAGGTCAAATTTGTTGGAAGGTTGAATTGACATGTATTTACTTGAGTAAATATATAACTTGTAGGTACCATACGCTGTTGTATGAGATGCGCACCAGGAGTTTTTTAGAAAATTTTAATGATGATCTATCCTTGCGTCAGACGCAAGCTGACTCATTTCAGCGACATAATTGTTTTTTTATTGTTAAAATAAAAATACAGTTTTGGAAAATTCATATTTCACACAAATGGATATTGGATTTCATTCCATTGCAAAATGGATTGAAAATCAATTGAATGTTACTTCATTATTCAAGGCTAAATTTTGATTTTTTTTTTCTACATCGCTTTTGAAAAATTCCGTTTGGAAGCTCAGTGAAATTTTCTGCGCTTTGACTCCATATGACGCGCTCCCAAGATATACCCGCCTGTTGGAGTACAGTATTTCGCGCCCATCATCTTGACATCTAATTTTCCACCGATCGAGTTTTGCACAACGAAGTTGTGAATTTTCCTTTGGTAAATAAAGTAATGTTTGAAATTTTAAAAAATCCATCAATGTCGCTTTTAATAATTTATCACGAATCACGATACAGGTAGCTCATTGAAACCGTAGTTTCATTTCTCACCTCATTTGCGCGCCCATCAAAGTGCCTCAGTTTGAGCTATCACTAATTCTACTGTACTGCTATTTCAAGGTCAAATTTGTTGGAAGGTTGAATTGACATGTATTTACTTGAGTAAATATATAACTTGTAGGTACCATACGCTGTTGTATGAGATGCGCACCAGGAGTTTTTGAGAAAATTTTAATGATGATCTATCCTTGCGTCAGACGCAAGCTGACTCATTTCAGCGACATAATTGTTTTTTTATTGTTGAAATAAAAATACAGTTTTGGAAAATTCATTTTTCACACAAATGGATATTGGATTTCATTCCATTGCAAAATGGATTGAAAATCAATTGAATGTTACTTCATTATTCAAGGCTAAATTTCGATTTTTCTTCTACATCGCTTTTGAAAAATTCCGTTTGGAAGTTCAGTGAAATTTTCTGCGCTTTGACTCCATATGACGCGCTCCCAAGATATATCCGCCTGTTGGAGTACAGTATTTCGCGCCCATCATCTTGACATCTAATTTTCCACCGATCGAGTTTTGCACAACGAAGTTGTGAATTTTCCTTTAGTAAATAAAGTAATGTTTGAAATTTAAAAAAAATCCATCAATGTCGCTTTTAATAATTTATCACGAATCACGATACAGGTAGCTCATTGAAACCGTAGTTTCATTTCTCACCTCATTTGCGCGCCCATCAAAGTGCCTCAGTTTGAGCTATCACATTGAAAGCGATAAATTAACCACGCGTTTATACGAGAAAAATTTACCCGATAAAACGAAGTTTCAAGTATGTTTTCTTGGAAAAAATTGAAGTTGGATTGCGCTTTTGTGTGCACCAGTTAACATGCTACTTATACGCGTACCACCTTTAAATTATTAACACGGAGTGATCCGAAACGTTTTTGTTGTTCGTAGCATTATTTTAGGGTTATCAAAATGAACTGCTCAGCTATATTCTGTCATTTTTTAAAAATAAAACAATGAAGAAAGCGAGTTTTGTCGCAGCTGAAAACAGTGAATAGCTTTCCTGGCACAATTCATTACATTGTACTCGGATGTAGACTTACATAGGAAAACAACGTTTTTTTGGAGAAAATTCTTAGATTTATCGTGATCTAATATATCAGCTTACAAATCTGGTAACTTTTTCATTCGATCGTTGCAATTTTTTCTCTCTGAAGTGAAATGGAAATAACTAATAGCAAGAAAACGTTTCGATGAGTCGATCATAGGATTAATGTGAATCAAATTTTTTCAGGAGAAAAAACTGATTCATTAGAGGACCAGGGAAAATTCATCCATTAAGAATAACATTCATGGATGCATAGAATTATGATAAATTAGGGTTTTAAAATTAAATTTTTTGGAAAAAGTGAGATATGTTTCCTTTGGGGAGTTGTTCTAGTTACGTGTACGTAACTTGTCATTGTGTTATATAGTTCTCCCATTTAAAAAAAATTTGCGAAGTCGGAATGGGCGGAAACGTTGAATACATAGAACAGTACTGTACGTACCGCATGCTTTTTGGAAGCTATTCAAATAAATCCCTCTACAAAAATGTCAGCTAAAAATTCACANATGATGATCTATCCTTGCGTCAGACGCAAGCTGACTCATTTCAGCGACATAATTGTTTTTTTATTGTTAAAATAAAAATACAGTTTTGGAAAATTCATATTTCACACAAATGGATATTGGATTTCATTCCATTGCAAAATGGATTGAAAATCAATTGAATGTTACTTCATTATTCAAGGCTAAATTTTGATTTTTTTTTTCTACATCGCTTTTGAAAAATTCCGTTTGGAAGCTCAGTGAAATTTTCTGCGCTTTGACTCCATATGACGCGCTCCCAAGATATACCCGCCTGTTGGAGTACAGTATTTCGCGCCCATCATCTTGACATCTAATTTTCCACCGATCGAGTTTTGCACAACGAAGTTGTGAATTTTCCTTTGGTAAATAAAGTAATGTTTGAAATTTTAAAAAATCCATCAATGTCGCTTTTAATAATTTATCACGAATCACGATACAGGTAGCTCATTGAAACCGTAGTTTCATTTCTCACCTCATTTGCGCGCCCATCAAAGTGCCTCAGTTTGAGCTATCACATTGAAAGCGATGAATTAACCACGCGTTTATTCGAGAAAAATTTACCCGATAAAACGAAGTTTCAAGTATGTTTTCTTGGAAAAAATTGAAGTTGGATTGCGGTTTTGTGTGCACCAGTTAACATGCTACTTATACGCGTACCACCTTTAAATTATTAACACGGAGTGATCCGAAACGTTTTTGTTGTTCGTAGCATTATTTTAGGGTTATCAAAATAAACTGCTCAGCTATATTCTGTCATTTTTTTAAATAAAACAATGAAGAAAGCGAGTTTTGTCGCAGCTGAAAACAGTGAATAGCTTTCCTGGCACAATTCATTAAATTGTACTCCGATGTAGACTTACATAGGAAAACAACGTTTTTTGGAGAAAATTCTTAGATTTATCGTGATCAGCTTACAAATCTGGTAACTTTTTCATTCGATCGTTGCAATTTTTTCTCTCTGAAGTGAAATGGAAATAACTAATAGCAAGAAAACGTTTTGATGAGTTCGATGAGTCGATCATAGGATTAATGTGAATCAAATTTTTTCAGGAGAAAAAACTGATTCATTAGAGGACCAGGGAAAATCCATCCATTAAGAATAACATTCATGGATGCATAGAATTATGATAAATTAGGGTTTCAAAATTAAATTTTTTGGAAAAAGTGAGATATGTTTCCTTTGGGGAGTTGTTCTAGTTACGTGTACGTAACTTGTCATTGTGTTATATAGTTCTCCCATTTATTTTTTTTAAACGCTTCAGCCTTACCCGCCTTTGCAACTTATGTATCTTGTCATGACATGCATGGCGTACGAAAAACCTTCGATAAGTTTATTTAGGGAGATGTTTTTACAGTCGATTTTTAAGTGTAAAAACATTCATTTCACTGAAGGGAAGCACCGGTAGTTTTTGGCCACTAAAATTTGCATTTCACATTCAAAAGGGGCGTATCACTTCACTTGTCTCACACGACAAACCTCGGTATATTTTTATTCCACCATAAATCAATCCGGCTGCAGCACGCTGAAAAGCGTTCGAAGTACTTTTGATCGAAGGAACTCAACTGGTGATGTGTAAATATCATCTAAGGTTTTTTTTTTTAGTGTAACCGTTAAGTGGACTTTTTCTTCGACCAAAAATTCTTGCTGAACAAGGAACCTGATTTGAAGGAACCGCCGGGAGAATCAGGTGAGCTTGGCGGCAATGACGAGGTCGAACTGAACCGCGACTGAGTCGACAACGACGAGGACGCGGATTGATCCAAGCTCCTAAATGTTCTCACTCGGGCGCTGTCGGAGTTCTGCGGAAATTTCGGCACACTTTTCTCGACACCTGATAACCGAGATGACATGTCACGATGAGTCGTTGAAAAGTCCCTCGGCAAGGAAGACACCGGGTGTTGCATCAGTCGAGTGCCCGAATCAGGGCCAGCAGAGGAATAGGCATCAGTTGCTGATTTCATGCCCTTCGAAACGAAGGATCCATTTTCCGGCACCGCTTTATTGGTATCGAAAATTGTGGAATGACGACGAAGGAATGAGTCAGTTTCTCGATTCGTTTTCTTTTCTATCGATTTCGCTAAATCGCCGATGCGAGACTGTAGTGACGTGGGGAGAATCGGGCCTTTTGAAAATATGGCGGAGTTTCGACACGGTTTGTTTCTAGCTAATGACGCGAAACCGACGTTGCTGGGAGACATCGTCGTCGGTTCTCCGGGTCTCGAAACTATTGCCGAGTTCCGGCTGATTCCGGTGGCTCCAATTAAGGGGGTATTCGCAGAAAATCCATCACCAGCACTTATCCCAGAATTCCTCGGGGTACTTCTCTGCAGTGTCGCAAATCCGCTCGGGAGCATCAACGTTGATGCATCTCCTGCTGCTGATGGCGAACTGATGGCGCGTGTTTTGGGCTCAAGGTAAATGTCTGCTTCTTCCTTCGATAAAAGTGTACTCGAATTCGAAGCAACGAATGGCTTCGTGAACATTGAATGTCTCGTAGGACGAATTCTTGAAATCCCGCCGGTTTGTAAAAATCTAGCTTCGGAAATTTGACCAAATTTTTCCTCAACCATCTGGTGTGCGTCTTGAGGTTTGTTCGGAGGATCTGGCGCCCTGGACTTTTTTCTCGTGAGAATAAGTGCATTTTCTGGCTTAGGTTGAGGCGCTGATGCTGATGAAGGAGCAGGGATCTTGAGGAAACCATCTTGGGTTGAAGAACCCAGAGAATATTGCATTGTATTGCACAACGGGATGTCCTCAGCAGCTGTCCTCAGTATCACTGCGGGAATAATTCTTTCTGGGACACAGACTTTATGGTATGATTGGGCTGTTAAGTTTGATTCATCACTTCTGGAATTCTGGGTATAAATACTCGGCGACGAAGTTCCTGCTGCAATAAGTGCTGCAGCAGGGCCATGCGCGACTCCATCTTTTCTCCTAGGTTTACTGGCATTACTCCCAGTGCCAAAATGTATCTCGGGTTCAATAGATGATGATAGCGGAGGTGCTCTTATCACTTTCTCGTCTCCTGCGGGATTTTTTGTGAGCATCGATTCATTCTCTTTTGCTTTTTTGGTCGATGCGTTTTCCATTTTTGTCGAGTTATTCTGCGCGCCAGCTGAGAGACTCGTACTTTCTGTCACTGTCTCTTCGAGTGTTTTATCCTTCGTATCAATGCTCATTTTGGTATCATTTCCTGTTGGTGGTTTAAGTACCGTATGGCCATTTTCTGGATTCTTGTCTTTCTTCGGTAGCGTCTTCGATTCAGCTTCAGTTTTGGGCAGATTTCCGAAGGATGAGGATTTTTTAGATTCAACAAAGTTTTTTATGCTCAGTATTTCCACGCGTGTGTCCTTGTCTTTGGAAATTGTCAGATCTTCGCTTCTCTTTCTAGGACTGCTACTCGTGCTTGTTGTCGTTGCTGGTTGCTCTTTTTGCGGAGGAGTGCTTGAGGTAATTATGAGTGTTATATCGTCAGGGACTTTGGTTGGAGTATTTGCGGGGAGATTCAGCAAAGAAGCGATTGGAATTGAACTTTTTGCCTGGAGATTAAGGGAAGAAGTGCTTGGAGCTGAAGAATTTGTCCCGTTATTCATCACAGTTGGCGGAGCAGCAGATTGAAATGAGGGATTCATCCAAGGTGGGCGAACATCATCGTTATCCTCGGTTGCGGACAAAGGAAGCTCAGATGTTCGAGCTTTGGTGATTTTAGGGTGCTGGAATTTGCACTCTTCGAGTTGCTTCGCCATTAAAGCGTGTCGCTCGCGGATCCTGTTGGCCAACAGAGTCGTTTTCTTGTCGCAGAAACTGTGCACTCGATTCACATCCGCGTTAGTGGCCTTGGTGCAAGCCACAGTAGCCAGCACATTGGCCACCTTGGACCCGAGCCCGAGCGAATTCCGTCGCTTGGACGCCTCGGAAAAATCCATCATTTTTTCTATGTCGTCGCGATGAGCCCGTTTCTTCCGCGCCGGAGTAGAGGAACTCTGGTCGAATGAATCCATTTGAAGAGCCCGGAGCCATCGAGGTCGTTCGGCTACGGATGCTGCTGCAGCTGCTGTTGGGGGTTCGGGCTGCCTGCCGGACCCGCTGTTGTTGACATTAATTCCAGTTTCGGGTTCCCGAGGGAAAAACTGCACTGGAGTGTCAGTCCAGCGGTCCACGAACTCTTTGAGGTTCGTGCGGGTCTGGTCTAGGATGAGAGTTTGGGCCGTTGGACTCGAATCCGCCGCGACTTTGATGGACCCGTGCCGGCTGAGGCTCTTGGGTGATTTGCGAGCCTTCTGGCCCGGTTGAACCCAGGAGTGGGCTCTGCTTTGTGCTGCTGTCATGCGTCGGCTGTGCCATGACGAGTACCAGCAGTAGCAGCAGTTCCAATATCCCGGTTGGGAAGCGAACGCAAAAAAAGCAGAGACAAATGTTCATGTCATTTTTAGCAAAAAAGTGTTTTATTTTATAATCATTTTGAGACTTCAAGAAGTGCTGCAGAGCGAATCGTCGACACGATTCAAAAGCACATTTCAGATCCCGTTACGGCATTGCAATTAGCAGAAATACATAGGACTTATTGCGGGTATTAATTAATTTTTTTAATCGTCAGAGTGCAGCAGTTTAAATGTTCAGGAACAATTTTCAGGGTCATTTTCTGCAGTACATTTTTCCTACCCACGCGTTTTTTGCTATGATGGATGACAGGAGGAAAATAAAAGAGCCAGCAGCAACACTTGACAGTCCCCTTTGACGTCCGACTTATGCAGAATAATATTTTTAAATTCATGTTATGCTGATTTCAGTTCAGCGAAGTGCCTAAGAAATCAACACTACATCAGGCCTTTTCAACTGGAATTAAGTTAGATCGATTTTTCCTTCAATGTTGTGCTGGGATTGTTCAACACATGGATGGATGGAGCTGAATCTTTTGCTGGTGCGTGTTTCTTCTCGTCATCCTTGATGGTACAACATCGAAATTTACGGCGGGCTCTCGGATTTTGAAAATAGAAGCAATTCAAGAATTTATTTGTTATGAGCGGAAATTTTCTGAACTGCTTCAATTTGAAATTAAGTAACGCGTGAGGAGACGGAAGAATGAGGCTGCGTGCGAAAGTATGACACCGCTCGCAACAGTGCAGATGAACTTGATATTGTTTTAGAGCTGAAGTTTCTTTTTTTCGAACTTCACTCTGCAGACTCCTTGAAGAATATTGAAAATTATTTTAGAAATTTTCTGCGAAATTTTTCGGAATTCCCTATACTTCTCTTCTTTTACCAGCACAAGTTGAACAAAAAAATCGTGTATCTGACAACGGACTATTTTTAATCGCAAATAAACATTTACAAAACGATTGCGAAATGGAAGCTATCTCTCTATATCACGTTTTGTCTGATCTAGAACCAAACATTGGCGGCTATGGAAATAGCTACGTAAGGTGAAAATAATTTTTGAGCAAGTATGAAGAAAGAGAAAACTGTTCTAAGTTGACGTTTTCTCATTACAAACCACCGAAGATGAAAATCGTTATTTATTTTTCGTGATGCATCCATTTTTATTTTCAACTATGTATCTCAATTTCCTTCCCTCCAGATGGAGGCATTTTGTCAATTTCCTGTTACAGATCCCGATGGTCTTGAAGTATGCGTGGGTGTTAGAGATTATACTTAAAATTGAAAAGTTTGCCATTCAAGTCTAAAGAGGCTTTAGAAGACAAGATTTCAACCGAATTTATGCTCTTGGAAGTTTTTTCCAAAGGTTTGTGATCGATCTATCTATGCTAAATGCAGTGCTTCATCTTAGTTGTTTCGCCATTAATAACAAAATCTTACGGAATGACTATATAATATTGACTGTGCTTGAAAACAAATTCTTGCAAAAAGTGTAGCTACACCACAGCATGCAACAAAAACATTTGAAATCTCGACGTAATCATCGCAAGGCAGTGCACGCTTGGTGTCGATACGAACCAAGTGTTCACAAATTCTAGAGGTATAACTCGAGCATAAAAATTTCTTGAAACAACTACAAGAGCTTTCTACGAACAAAAATATCGTCTAAAAGCGCTACTCATGACAACGGAGCCACAAAAGGTTTACGTCAGGCTGCATGTCACGGACCTTCATCTATATGGAAAGTTCATCACATTTTTCCAAACATACAATCACCTACATATAGACCTAACACGAAGAAAGGGGGTAAACGAAGGAAGACCACTTGAGTTGCTACTCACTATAAAACGGCTCCAACAGTGGGTGGCCGGGGTTGGTTGAACAGGCCAAGTACGAGTACGATGCAGTCGGCACACTCGACATATTTTTTTTTTCGCATTTCGCACTTGGGGGTGATCACGAAAACAACATTTTTTTCTGGTGCAGCTCAAAGAACCAGCGGTCCAACAGATTTCATTTCATGGTTATTATGAGGAAGAAAAAGCATCAAGCTTTCATTAAAAAAAAGCCAGCGAGAGCAGCGGTTAATTCAAAGAAAATATTTTTTCATCATTTCTGCTCACTACATCAAAGTGCGTCCTATAAAAAATAAATAAATGCCAATGGAAGAGTTCCGATTCGCGCTCTTGCATTCTCGAACCATGAATTGTTTAAAATTCCATATAAACATAAATGGCGATTTCAGAAATGATTGACGCACAATATTTTACGATTCATGCGTCAAAGTTATTTTAAACTAATAACCTCTCGCTAATAAGGACACCCAAGTTACCCAAAATTTATTCTGAAAAGTCCCTTGCAAAAAAAAAAAAAAACTTGAACATTGGTTTTTGTAATTATTTGGTGCATATAGTTTGTTGAATTTCTCAGTTTTGAGGGTGACAATACACGATGGGATGACGAGCACGGTGCTGTCCGGATTCCGGAAACAATTTTAAAGTGTGTGCAGCACTCAAGAAATCCAGTTACGATACCTTTTATCCTTGACGAGAAGTTTGTTGATGAAATCCTTGGCTTCGTCGGAGATTTCATCGAAGGCGTCGTCATCAAAATCATACTGTCCGATACGGACATTCTCCAAGGTCTCGTTATCATTGTCGCCCATGAACGGGGATAATCCCGAAAGCCTTGAAAAACAAACAAGATCACTTATTTCTCCAAGAGAAAACTTTAGTAGCTTCAAAAGAAGTACTGTACAGTAAAAGGGTTGGCGAATACGTTCCACCAGTCCCGTGGATCAATTTATTTTTATAGTCTCATATTGGATGGATGCAGGAGATAAACGCAAATTTTTTCTATAAAGAAATGTTTTATCCTGATGCTAGATAGCCGCTTCCCCACGTCGAGATTGATGGGAAAACCAAGTTTAAAAGTACCCCCTGTGAAGATAGAATGGCTTTCTGCCAATCTTTGTATCCGCCGGAAGACCCGAGTACAGTAATAATGATCATTTTCGAATAATTTTTTTTTCTTCTCGGAAACAATATTCCATATTTTAAAATCATGTTACAGCAAAAAACAGTGTTATGATCTTGGCAATTCCTGCATTAGTGATGCGGAAAACGACGATTTCCATTAAATATAAATGGTCATCAGCAATTGAGAAGTTGCTTGGACTAGGACTGGAAGGAATTTCTAAGACAGCTAAGAGGCATGCTTCAAGTCATCTTATTTTTTTATCCGGAGGATTTCGACTCAGTAACTGGTGACCTTATCTTACAAGCTTTATTCTAAGATGCTGAGTCTACTGACAATTTTCTTGATATAATATACTGAGGGGAACAGAGTGTATGCATTTACATCAGTTGTCAAGTAAGTTGTAAATTTTGCGATGTATTTTCCTTTTCTTTAATTCCCATAAACAGCTGATTTCATTCTGATGTGATGGGATGAATTCGGGTGCGGAGGGGAGGGGGTTTGGATGTGGGAACATTGTTTGAACTTTGTGAATGCTGAAAAGCGGAAAATAAAATTTTGCTTATCAATCAACTGACAATAAAACGCTTTGTACTATCCCTCAGGATCAGCGAACAGATTTATGAGAACATTTTTGGGCCCAATGGAGTTCATTTTCAAAATGTAAATCCAGTGCTTATTGTACGTTATGTCACAAGTATTGCTGAAATGTTCAATTCAACGCAAAACAGTTTTGTATCATACCTAGGGTCCCATGGCATCACGACATCGCATATATATTTTGCATGACAGTTTCTAATACAATTGCGTTCCAAATTATTTTCCGCTGACTGAAGTCGAAGATTTCAGACAATTCCGACTGCAGTTTAAATCCGGACCAAGCGCAGGAGAAAATCCCACCGGAGAGAAAATCCCGTAGGTCCGAAAATCTCGCTGGGCCTACCCCCGGAATTGTCAGATTTTTTCTGCTTTGGTAATTGCCAAATGCTGAAAGACTGCTACAAATACAGTAGAACTCAATCCATCTGGGCTCCAGGATTCTTGAAAGCTTACAACTTCATCAAATTTCCCCTTATAACGATTTTGAGGATTCAAATATAGAGAGACCTGATGGGGAATGAAATTTGACTTCACAACTGCATTTATACTTGTTTAATACTGTAATTCAGAATTTGTCCACACTATTGTCAACTTTATTCACAAAAAAAAGAGGCTTTTCTGATGCATAAATTCAGGTTGTGGGATTTTTGTAACCCGCAAGATTTTCGAGCCGCGGGATTTTCTCAAGGAGTCTCCGAACAAAAGGCGAAAGCACAAAGGGGAATTTATCCAACTTCACTTCGCCAAAAGAGGGTGGCAAAAAATGTGATCGATGGGTTTTCAATGATTCACTTACAGGACATACGTGATGACGCCGACAGACCACATGTCGGTGCCAAAGTCGACCTCGTCATAGTTGACAACTTCCGGTGCGACGAACTCCGGTGTGCCGTGCAACAACCGCAGCGGCTTTTTCGGGTCGTACTGACGAGCTAAGCCAAAGTCGATTAGCTTGATCCGGTTCCCGGTTCTCGTCAAGCACAACACATTTTCCGGCTGAAACGAGTCCAAAAGACGTGACGTCTCAATCTCAGCTCCGTCGGGACTGGAAGCACAAACTTTCCCTCATGTCTCATATGTTTATCGAGAACTATAATAAACATCAGATGCTCTCTGAAATGTTTATTTGGAGAGCGTGTCAAAGTTATTTCACGATCGGCAGGGACCGAAAGCGGCTTCGTACAGAATAACGCCTTGGAACATGTTTCTTACCGATAATCTCTGTGTGGGCAAATCCGTGCTTCATGTTCTTGTAATATCTTCGTTCACTTGAAAAATCTGAAGAAATCACCTGATTTGAAATAAATGCTTGCGGGATAGTTTGCAGGAACTTAATCTGGATAGTTATATTGTGGATCACAAGTGCCGAAGCATATGGTTAATTTAAAAAAATTGAATTGAATCGATGGTTTTTTTGCAGATTCAAACGAAAAGCGTATCCGTGCACATCCTCTACAGTCAACGTACTCCACTCGAGTTATTTTCGGTGTATTCAAAAACATTTCAGCTCGACAGAAAAAGAAGGAAGATGATCAGCTTTTTTCAAAATCCTCGAAACCGATTAAGGACTAATACCAAGACTTGAAGTCGACCTATTCCTGATTTCGGAAGTACAGTACTGTATTTATTTTCAGATGCAGACGCAACTGCATGAGCATCATCACTTGACTTTTCGAGGCAATCCGAAATTTTTTAGCGGCACCAAAAACGGCAGAACAATTTTAAAATGACGCGTTGTCGTCAGCGGAATTTATTTTTAAACCTTTTAAAATACTGTACTGTATGATCTGAAAATCCTCCACGCGCTTATTTTTGTTCCAGCTCAGATATACATACGTGTTACTTCTAATGCTATGTATTCTCTCCAATACAATCTTCATCAACAAAAACTATAGAACAGTGAGTGGTCACGGATTTAATTATATTAGTGAACATTAGGCTTAACATGAATGTGGTGCGATGACCATCTGATCTGTGATGGTATGTCAAAACTTTTGATATCGCCTTCGTATATGATGGTTTTTCTGTTGTAACATTCAGTTTGAACTTGACTGAGTGGAAGAGTATATGTTTTGAGAATGAGCGATAACTGGAAGATCGCCCAATAATGTCGAATTAAGATTACGGCGCTTTATTGAATAATACCCAGCGTTCATCATCATTGCTTTCGTAGTTATTTTCGAATACACTCCGGTAAATTTATTCGACCTTACAGGATGATGGTATCATCAATGTGAACCTCTTTCGAATCAGCTGCATAAGTGGCCCGTGCGACAGAAAGCACTCCGCCGTCCGACGATTATACACGCCAGACAAAAGTTTTATTCATGAGCCCTTTTTACGGCCTTCCTTTCCAACGCGCCGGAGCCGCTAATTTGTACCGAGATTGACGACACCTCACCTTCATGTCGAGATGGAGAATGTTTTTCGTGTGCATGTAGTCGACTCCTTCGCAAATTTGGCGCAGAAATATCGAGCAAGCCTTTTCCGTGAGCACGAAATCGTCGTCTATCACCCGTTCAAACAATTCTCCTCCCTCGATCCTATGAAAAATGAAAGTGAGACTCATATTTCCTGATCACTAATTAAATTACCTTAATCATGAAATTATAGTAGGATACGTCCAGATTTAGCGGGCAGTCAATTGAAACTGCACACGGAGGACAGAGAATTTGAAAATTTCTAGGAACAAGATGGCTTCTGACGCTTAAAACGCGCTTAACTGTTATGAAAATGTAAACAGCGCAAATATTAGTTGAGTTTTGCAAAGAACTCAGCAACCCACCCTCACATCACTGAAATAACACAGAAATCACACGGAAATCATGTTCTGCCAAAAAACTGTTTTTTTGGGTGCATTCTCAAGTCAGAATAATTTTCGTCTGAATGATTTTCCCTTGACATAAAATATTTCCCAAAATTCATGATTCAATCTTGGATATATGAGCCGCTGCAAGGAATCCTCGATTATGCTGACTGTAGTTTTTTTTTAGAGAGAATTTTATCAGATTACATTTAAATAAATGCGAGAGAAACAGAATTCAGCAGGACTTGTATTTCCAAGGTGCAATCCATCCATGCACCGACTTCCACAACTTTTGATTTTGGAGTCATCGGTTTTATACCCAGTTTGATGAGTCGAAAATAAAGTTGTGGTTATAAGCTGCGAATGATCCGAGATTTATCACCGCAAATATCAATATCGAAGAATTAGTGCTGCATTATTTTTTTACCTTTCATATTCATTCTCAACCACTGTGGACTCCGAAAAGCCAATTTACAGCAAAATAATAACGTTATCCTTCCCACAGTTCCTGTACTTTTACGACTTTCTCAAAGTACGTTCGAATTAAGAAGAGCTAGGATATAAAGTCAGTGAAAAGAACAACATTCAACCGCCGATTTCTAGGGGAATATGGTGAAATATTTATGCAAATTCTCCACAGTGGATTTCTTTAAGGTTGGGCTAGCTTGGCTCACAAAAAATATCCTGATGAATCAAATCAATCACCGTACATTCACCGCATGTGCCATTGCGGTTTGGGTGATTTTTTAATACTGTATAATTAAAGAAAGAACATTTCCTCCTTTTCGGTGTGTCTCTCTTTGACACAATTTTCAAACGTGCTGAAAACTTTTTTTTTTACAGAGTAGGCCACAATTGGAAAATACCAAAAAACTATTTAGAGTTTTTGAGGTCAGCGGATATCACTTTGGTGTTGCTACAAAGGACGTGATGAGCTCAGGGGTATTCAAAATAAGTCGAAAAAATGAAAGTGTATGAGTTCAAATATAATCCTACGTATACAGCCAGTCTTTTAATCATCGTTATCTGGTAATAATTTTATTTTGCGGTAAACTGATGTGCGAAGTTTGAAATTCAGAAGCAGCGGAAGTACGAAGAATGATCACGATTTTGAAACTCAATCAAAGTTATTGCTGTCACGTACAGCGGATTTTGCGTCATCGCAGACGTTCGCAATTTTACCAAGAATTACCATCTATTCTTTGTCGGCCTTTAAAATATATTTTTGATAACACAGAAGGAAAAAATAGGAGAAAAAATTGAAGTGCTTCCAATGCCACCAAACTGAAGTTCTGCGATATAGCAGTGTCATGAACATCAGGCATTAAATTTCTCATTTGAAAATGAATACTCTCATAAAGTTCGCAGATAATATTTTTGGACATCACTGACGTTTCCCTGAAATTTGCGACTGCATAGATTATTAAAAAAGTATTTTAAAGAATTGCTGAAAATGTATTCTTACTAGTCCCAAAACTTTTGGATCACCAAAACATCCAACTATCCGTATTAGGCAGAATAAATCATCAGGGATCCTTTAAATTAGTCAAATGAAAATGAAAGCAGTCGCGTTATTCAGGTGGCAAACGTCGAGATACATTCAAAATTAATTTCCACCGAATTAAGCGTCCCCAAAACGCAGGGTACTTGGGTCACAACGAATGAAGCCTTCATAATCAGCAGCGCATTTATTCATGATGGACTTTTAAATTATTGGAAATTTACCAACAGTCAAACTTTCGCGCGACTTTCACAAGCGAAGCTGAGGTAAACAGAGTGAAGAAGATTTGAGAGGAGAAAACGAAGAAAAGTGCTCACAGTTCGAGGATGAGGACCATCTCTTTCTTGCGCGGGTCGTCGAAGGCTTCGTAGAGCTGAAGCAACCTCGGGTGTTGGAGCTTCCGCATGATGTTTACTTCCCGTTCCACGTCCTGTCGGTCGGTTTTCTTCGGCGTCGTCACGTATTTGGCAGCGAAAACGCGGCCCGTGGACTTCTCTTTGCACCGGTACACGACCCCGAATCGCCCGCTGTTATAGGAACCCCACCCCCATTTCAAACAAACCCACCCGAGAGTCAGAAAAACCCCTTCAACATTCGACCCGTCAATGCGGGATCCCCTTCGACGGGTCGCCTCAAAAGCCCTCGAAAGAAGACAACAAAACGAGAAAGAGAGTGAAGGAGAAATTATATGATACTTGCGGGGATCATCGCCATTCACACGTAGTATTATTCATTCATTATGAAACAGTGGTTAATTTCTCATTGGTAATTATCCCAAATCAATTAAACAGCAGCCAGTGAAAATACTGTATAGTATGAAGCTGAGCAAACGGTAAGTTCTCATTGTGAGTGAATTTTCTCCGTTTAATTTTCATATAATACTGCATACTTAGAAGTCATAATGTCCTAAATGATTTCCTGGACTGGACTCTGTAGGTGATATATATAAGCAAATCTCTCAACATCAGAATCGAATCTATATCAAAATTATCTTAAAGCAAAACTGGGTTTCAACTTCCAATTAACTGAATTTTTAAACAAGGGGATTTTCACTCACGGAATCCAAAAATGCCAGTTAACATATTGCATGGTGAACTTATAAAAATCTTGGATCTTTTGACGCGACCCTTCGAAAAAATTTGCTCGGAAGAAATTGACGTGCCAAATGGTAAGCTCATTCTCTCAAGCACACGCAAACGTTTCTCTCGCATTTGTCATTCATTCTTCTTCCAACGTCACCTTCATGCAATCATGCTTTCCAGTCTTCACACACAAGAATCTTGGTTCTATATGTGCATGAGAGGAATTACACGCATGCAAAAAATGGACATTTTGGATATGGTTTTCAGGGTGGAACAATTACGCACGTGGCGACTCAATTAAAATTCATCATCCCCACGTAAAAAACCTGAACAATAAAAGTTAAAGCGATAATTGCATAAAATATAATAAAGTCAAGACGAAAATCGTGAAAACTTCCTTTTCGGGACTACCTTGAACATTTAAAAAAAATATTGATCGTATTCCTTCGTTAAATTCGCTTTTTTTTTTACTGAGAGGCGGGTGTAAACTGAACTTTAAAAAAGAAGACATTACGATATTTTTATTGCGTTCGAATCCGTATTTTACCAAGAAACATGATGTTGAATTTAGGAATTGGCTCGATTTCTGTAGGCAATATTCAAAATTTTAATTTCCACAAACAGCATTTAATTTGAAAACAGTAAATTACAGATACTCAGATCATTGGGAAGGATTGGTCGAGACGTGTCCAGTTTTCTTCCCATTTCAACATTACCCCATTCTGAGACTTCGTTGCATGAACGATACATCAGTAAAAAGTTTGAAACCATAGTATCAGCCATTTCCTGCTCATTCAATGCAAGACTTCAAAGTGATGATCTTTCACGATTACTGTAAGGCTCAACAAATTTCTTCGTGATATCGATCCAGACTTTTTTTTTTACTGGGAATTTTTTTATGCATTCTCGGTAAATTCAGTGCATTGCATGGTTCGATAGAACTGATGGGTTATATGTACTGAACAGCGAATGAATTTTTTCATCATCCCTGACATTTAAGTAAAAAAAATTAAATTAAACTCGATGTGAGAAAATGACGATTTTGACAAGCGCTGAAAATATATTTGAATTGATTGTTCAAACAATCCTTCACACTACTGTATACTGAAAAGTCTTGATCAATTTGTGGGGTGATGGAGCCTGTTCTGCGAATTATTTTTTGGGGCCTGAAAAAAGAGTCACAGACCTGCAACCATATGTTTGGATCTTATTATTCCATCCTTTGACAGCTCCATTCAAGCACAGACGTTAATATTAATTTTTTGCTTATCGTCTTTTTTGTCATTCCATTCTTTATCGATTTCCTTGCGTAGCGAGACAAAGACTCGGGGAACTTTGAGCAAAAGCATCAGGTCTCCGTGGAGCACATTAAAAGGTAACAAAAAATTAATTTTAGTTAAGACATAAAATTTAAAGCGATGACTCATTCCAGGCCTGTAAAACTATAACCCTTTCTAGAACAGACACAGGTTTAAAATAAAAGTGCATCTGTATTCGCTCCACAGCGGAAGTGCTGTTTCTGGAGTCGGGCCAAAATTCTTTGCCTACCCAAGATTTGAAATCAAATCCCCTCCGATGAAAGTAGGGTAAAACGGCTGCCGTCTGCCGAGTGCATCTTGGGCGGGTTAGCGACTGTGCTGTGCTGAATGGGTTGGGGGGGAAATGAAAATTAAAAAAACACGAAGAAAATTTGGGAAAACATAGGCGTGAAGTGAATGACATGACCCCACGATTGTGCCAGACCTGTATAGTCACACCAGGATGAATAACGGCTCAAGAAAGACAAGTACAATACAGTACTCATAATAGAGCCGAGAGCCCAGCACACAGGTACTTCCCACTTTCGACATTACGTATTCGCACCGCAGGCCGAGACCAGGGTCGTGATAATTCCGTGAACATACACACATATGCATTCTACCGTCTCAGTTTACTGCAAACCGTTTTTCTTTTTCTCTCTTCCCCAATTCGTATATACTCGACCCAAACAATATTTTTTTCTAGCCTTTCTGAATTCATAATAAACAACGGGAAAAACTACGGAGAAAAAAACTGCGTTGTCACCAGAACTACCGGCCAGAAGCGTATAAATTGAACTGATTCTTATTCTCGACCGGCCGCGACGGTCCGGACTCGGCGTAACTCTTCGTGACGCTTTTACGACAGTTCAAAGGCCCACGGGAAACATTTTTGCTTCACTGAAGCATAAAAAGTTCGCGCTGTCACATAAACTTTATCGAACACAGTGCATGGGGAAAAATGAGCATATCTTCGAGCCGAGATTCACAACTTTCGTCCATAGCAAGTGGATGTTTCATTATTAGGCCTCCAGCGCACCCCCTGCGCAAGATGGATGCGTCCTATATTCCGTAAAAGTTATACCCGGAAATTTATAATTTTTTTATTATTGTCGAATAAATTTTATTTTTACAATGACATCATGAAATACTTGTCGCAAGTTTCAGACGAGGAGATGAAATGAATCGACGGGCGTCTTCAAATTTTGAGGAAAGTCAGCTTGCTGTTTCCGGTATCCGGCCATTATTTCTGATCAACTCCGTCACGACTATAGATGAAAATGATTCAGCTTCTATTCGAAAGCCATATAAAATCCACGAAAAATCTCAACGTTGATTGTGGAGAATCTCACTTCGAAGAAATTGAGCAATTGATGCAACAAGATTTCTTGGACTCAAAGCGTTCTCATTATTATAATAAATAATGACACAATGATATGCAGACTTTTTCGTTTGAAAATTTAGAAATCAATTATTACAAGTTGAAATAAATCCTAGCGTAGGATCATCACGGACTTCTCGGATTCCATTCAAGACCTTGAGATTATAAATACTGTCCAGTCATTCAAAGTACACTGCGTTTGTATATGTAGTAGTTTGATACTAAATTATTCAGGCAACTCCAATAAGGGAGATCTCTTGATTTCAACTGCGAGCAGAAACCACTAATCGTACGTGTGGATATTTAGATTCCATAAATTATTAATTTTATGGGAGAATTTAAAAGAACTAAAAATTATCCTTCCCTTTTATTCAAAACTTTTAACCCAAGGTTTCACATAATGCTTGATGTGCACACCGGTAATTGAAAAAACTTTTCAGAACGTTAAAATATGGTATTGAAAAATATCTTTAAAATGAAAAATTCTAAAATGAACCATTCGTTCTTCCAATCCCATTTATTTTCGGTTCATTTCAAGTGATTGTGACCAACTTGCAAGAAAATTTCCACGATAATGATGAATCCAGTGTTGTTACAGTATTATAAATTTACTGGTAACTTTTTAATATTCTCTTCTTATCAGCTTCTTATATTTTGAGGAATTCGCGTGACTTGGTGGAAATGGGAATCCTCTTTCTTAAGTTGAATCAATTCGATCCTGATGATATCCAGAGACTTTATAATTTTATTGAAACAAGCTTTCCTTTTTAAGCCACAAACAAAGGAATGAACTAATTATGTAGCAAGTGGCGACCCACCTGCTGACGTACATTGACAGGAAATGCAACCGGAATGGACTTTTTGATTGTCTTGCTTAAAACCTGGAGATTTGAATATTTGGCGTCGCTTGATGAAGGAATGTGATCAATGAATTATGTTTTGCATATCCTCGGGACTACAGCTACTTGCGCGCTTCCGGTGAAGTGCATTCCAGTTCATAGAACGGAAACCACTACAACTCCCAGTGTTAGTGCACGAAATTTGTCTACTTCAAGGTACATAAATTTGTAGAAGAGTCACGGACTTATTCTTGTTTCCAGGCGTTCGCAGAATTTAATTCAAATTTTGAAGGCTATCACATCTACCGAGAATGACTGGTTATCGCACGGAGAAACGAAAAATAAATATTGATCAGTCTTATAGAAAAGTATTTCTCACGAGAAGGTATATTCGATTATTTTTCTCGATTTCCCGAGGGACCAATAAAAATCTTGATCGCTTCTATTATGTGCTCAATAGCAGACCTCACTCAGAAAATAATCATCCTGGCTGACGTTGCTGCATAATAAAATATCTGAAGAAAACAATTGCGTCGGTGCCCTGTGTTAATCCTTATATGTGACGTTGGTAGAATTGGCTCAAAAATTGTTATGCAGAGGATCTTGACAGTTACAATGTTTTTTTTTGTTTGCATCACTCGAACAAACTTCCGAATTTCATAATTATCCCCCCCCCATGATTTGCTCCGCCTAGAAACCCGACATCTTGCAAATAACTCGGGTACATTGCGAACCAACATGTAGAACACATCTCCTACAAGTGCACCTAATTTAAAGCAAGTGCATCAGCTCCTAGAACAAATATTCTCATCGCAAACACGGAAAACTGCTGACTAATTTTTCAGACACATGGGACATTCGCTCACTATTTTGAAGCCATACCTCCCGAGCCTCTGTCCTAATTCATAGTGATCGGTGACCTTGTCGTCCGGCGACCTGATGTGGTCAGGTCGGGGCAGTTTCCAGTCCGCTTCGTCAGTCGACTCTGAGGATTTTTTTTAAAGCGACGTCCACGATTTTCCACGACGGAGCACCGATTTGCATGCACCGATGGGACAAAGGCATTTGGGAAAGAAGGAGGGAAAAAAATTAGGAAATGCGACGTGGTGATGGAAGAATGACCTCAGATGGACTCCCCACAGTGTTTGGTCGATTCAGTCGAGAAAAAAAATATTGCCGGGCTGTCGCAGAAATTAAGAATCGATTTACATTCTTGAATGAAGGAGAATTTCTGAGCCAGGGGGAAAAAATGTGAGTCCGCAATGATGGAACACAGCTGTACAAAGGGGAATCAATGCAAAACTAAAGAGATCAAAGGAGAAGGCGGATGGAAAAATCCTTCTTGAAGGTTTGATTATTCATGAAATTATACGCTTGAATTTCAGAGAGATGGCTCCACATTTTTTCAAAGCCTTGAACCGATTTTAAAGAATCCACTGTGATGATATCATTTTAATTTCCTGAGATTTTTGTTTTGGTGATTGCAGTTCTTACTTGCGCAACTTCTTGTTCAAAAATTAACATTTCTGCGCAATCTTCTTTTAGAATCACGGAACAAAGTTTCACATAAGAAACATTTATTGCAAGTACGCATTGAATATTTGAATACCCTGCATACTTTTTCTAATAACTTCATTTAAACTGAACTGAAAGTTATAAAATTCAAAAATGTGATGATTTTTCCATTTTTCGCGGGGTTGTTTTTATAACGCAGTATCACCATTATTTCAACCAGTTTGATCAAAATGTAACACAGTGACCAGGAATATATCATATTTTGGAATGCAATAATTAGGTCTAACTATATCCTTCCAACGAGACCCTTTAAAGGAAAGTTCTACCTTATTTGGGACCATTGAGTTAATTTCGGCATGAACAATATGGAAATTTTTTGTACATGTTAAAAATATAAATATCATGAATCCATAAATGTATTCATGCTGTGAACCAGTCAGCGGTCATTGCTCAAAATGCGGATCATCGAGTTAAAAGAAGACACCGAAATTAAACTGTTCAGCGTGATAAGCTTTTAGCTCGCTGAAAATATTGATTTTCACGCAAGCCAGACTTGGATTGCGATTACGCCCGTCAGTCGTTTTATACATCTGGTTATTCAGGCAGTTCGTTAATAGGGCAAATTAATTATTCCGTTCTCATTTGAAAAGTTGATTATCTGGGTACCTTCCGAGTAATTCGCTGAGTTCAAAGGAATCCTTGACTACTTTGTCCGTAACGATCGAAGCGCATCTATTGGCGTAAACTTGGTAAAATGCCGCGTCCTCGTCCGCTGTGCACAAATACTTCGGTTAATTAATCTCTTTTTAATCGAAGGGATTCGATTAATCGGGAAGAAAAGTTCAAGTCACGTTTGACAACAGTTTGTAAACGCTACGTGGATCACATAAGACTCATCTGGAATCAAGGAGCTGTTCGATTTATTTGGTGAATGGATGACGAGAAAGACTTTCATTTCTGCTCAAAACGATGATCAAATTTTTGAAACGCTCACCTTCTGGAGGATCCGTTTCATCGACGTATATCATCGCGGAGTTTCCCTAAGAATAAAAAATAAATAAAAATTGTAATTCAGAAATGAATTATGATTGTTCATAAAGATGAATGTTGCATCAAAAGTACACGTAATTCGCAGTCACGAGGAGTTTCGATGATAAGAATGCACGAAAGGAGTGAAAGAGCTTTTAAAACCAGTAATTACATCAAAATCATCGCATGAGACTATCGAAAACGCGAAATGATGCTGCGCATAAAAAAATTTAGAATACGATTTTAAAAATGAAGTATGGCCGAATAAGCTGAAAGCATTTGCCGAAAATAGCTAAATTAAACTCAATAATAGCTAAATTATTTCAAAAGACGGGAGATCAAAATTTCTGTTCAATCTTTGTGTCTCGTCAATGTAATGCATTTTCCGCATTTCCGCCAGGTTTAATATTCACGATAAAAGCAAAAATCCTGCTTGCTTCCGCGCCTTTGGAAATGGGCCAAAAATTGCACGTAAGCGTGCGTGTCCGCGTGACACGAGCTTTTAACCACACCTCTTCTTCAGTAGTGAAGGAAAACAAAAACGCACACTTTATTTACATAGAGCGAGAAAAGCCGAGATCTTTGTCCTCATTCTTTATCTTTACTTCCGCTTTTGCACCTCATCGATAACGGGGGAAAATCACTGTTTGCGATCGACGGCTTTTCGCTGAACAAGGACTCTATTGTCGGAAAAAAATTACTGTAGTTTCATTTTTCAGAACCCACGATTGAATTTTTGTTGAAGGCAGACTGTCTTCTCAACTTTTTATGGGAGAAAATGTTTCGTAGTAAAAAACTGAATTGATTTTGTATCTCGGTATTCATCGTCACAAACTTTTCAACTACTGTATTTTCCAGCTACTGCTTTCTCTCATTGGCCCGCACTTCTTTTTCAAAAATATAAGATTGAAATTACGGTATTCAATTCTGAATGTCCATGGAAAGGAATGCAATTAACTTCAAGTTTCGCCTATTTTCCGCTTCCAATTCTTCTTATACCGGTAGATAAATGTTTACAGGGTGGACCAACAAGGTAAAAAAAAAATTATAAATTTTTAGTATCTCGCAAAATGGTTTGAAGTATATTATTGAGACGAAAAGAGCGTTAAATGAAGGGTCATGCAATCTTCGAATCGATTTTTTTGCTTTACTTGCAGGAATGTGCTTGACCAACGAGCACATTTACCAAGCAAAAAAATTAGAAAAATCCGAAAACGAAGTGTGCTTTCTTGTGAGGGTTGAGATTTCGCACAAAAGTTTTCTTGGAGTTACACGAACTTTTAAAAGACTTTCAAGCAATGAAATATGCTGAATGGAGAGCTATTTCAGGACGGTTTCGAGAATATTTTCGAATTTTCCCACTTTTGCGGGGTATAAAAGGCGAAGGAAATATGTACGGCAGAAGACTTCCAAGCAGTGAAATATGCTAAATGGGAGGGATGATATTTCAGGACGGGTTTGTGCATATTTTTGAATTTTTCCGCGATATTTTTATAGTATGGCAAGGAAAGAAAATACCTAGTGCAGGTGACGACAGAATTCATCTTTCCTGTCAAAATTCTGCCCACCCGCCCTTGGTAACGCTCTTTTTAATGCTTTCATTGATTTTCCTTACGCTAATCAATAAATTACTCCACGAAAGCCCTTCTGGTCTACCTTGTTAAATCTTGCTAAGGCAAATCCATCTCAGAGGAAACATAATGTGAGCAGATATGGAGGGTTCGAGGCTGCACAAAGCTTTGAGGAAGTTATCATTGACCGACAATTATTTGCTTAACTTGATTGTTGAGTAAAGANAGAATACACGAACCGAGTGAAAGAGTGTTTAAAACAAGTAATTACATCAAATCTACAAATGAGACTATCGAAAACGCGAAATGATGCTGCGTACAAAAAAATTTAGAGTACGATTTTTAAAATGGAGTATGGCCGAATAAGCTGAAAGCATTAGCCGAAAATTAAACTCAATAATAGCTAAATTAAACTCAATAATACATAAATTATTTCAAAAGACGGGAGATCAAAATTTCTGTTCAATCTTTGTGTCTCAATGCAATGCATTTTCCGCATTTTTGCCAGGTTTAATATTCACGATAAAAGCAAAAATCCTGCTTGCTTCCGCGCCTTTGGAAATGGGCCAAAAATTGCACGCAAGCGTGCGTGTCCGCGTGACACGAGCTTTTAACCACACCTCTTCTTCAGTAGTGAAGGAAAACAAAAACGCACACTTTATTTACATAGAGCGAGAAAAGCCGAGATCTTTGTCCTCATTCTTTATCTTTACTTCCGCTTTTGCACCTCATCGATAACGGGGGAAAATCACTGTTTGCGATCGACGGCTTTTCGCTGAACAAGGACTCTATTGTCGGAAAAAAATTACTGTAGTTTCATTTTTTCAGAACCCACGATTGAATTTTTGTTGAAGGCAGAATGTCTTCTCAAATTTTTATGGGAGAAAATTTTTTTTAGCAAAAAACTGAATTGATTTTGTATCTCGGTATTCATCGTCACAAACTTTTCAACTATTTTCCAGCTATTGCTTTCTCTCATAGGCCCGCAGTTCTTTTTCAAAAATGAAAGATCGAAATTACGGAATTCAATTCTGAATGTCCATGGAAAGGAATGCAATTAACTTCAAGTGTCGCCTATTTTCCGCTTCCAATTCTTCTTATACCGGTAGATAAATGTGTACAGGGTGGACCAACAAGGTAAAAAAAAATTATAAATTTTTAGTACCTCGCAAAATGGTTTGAAGTATATTATTGAGACGAAAAGAGCGTTAAATGAAGGGTCATGCAATCTTCGAATCGATTTTTTCGCTTTACTTGCAGGAATGTGCTTGACCAACGAGCACATTTACCAAGCAAAAAAGTTAGAAAAAATCCGAAAACGAAGTGTGCTTTCTTGTGAGGGTTGGGGAGTTCGTACAAAAGTTTCCTTGCAGCTACACGAACTTTTAAAAGACTTTCAAGCAGTGAAATATGCTAAATGGAGTGCTATTTCAGTACGATTTCGAGAATATTTTCGAATTTTCCCACTTTTGCGGGGTGCAAAAGGCGAAGGAAATATGTACGTCAGAAGACTTCCAAGCAGTGAAATATGCTAAATGGGAGGGATGATATTTCAGGACGGGTTTGTGAATATTTTTGAATTTTTCCGCGTTGTTTTTATAGTATGGCAAGGAAGGAAAATACCTAGTGCAGGTGACGACAGAATTCATCTTTCCTGGCGAAATTCTGCCGCCCTTGGTCTTGGTAACACTCTTTTTAATGCTTTCATTGATTTTCCTCACGCTAATCAATAAATTACTCCACGAAAGCCCTTCTGGTCTACCTTTTTAAATCTGCGATTCCGTTTAGGTAGAGTCTCCTTTGTATTACACTCGTCTATACCTCCCAAGCTCCGACGTGTTTCGAAACTCCTTCAATAGTAACTGGCTGTTAATAAACGAATTGAACTAACAACTCATTTCTAGCCAGTCACAACGTGTGACGATCGTCACACAATCAACAAGAACAAAATAAACTTCGTCGTCTTTCCACGTGGCGGGGCTGAGAAATATCTATTCGCATACCATTCAATATTTCAATCAGTTCTTTATATAAATATTTTTTGAGGAGCGGAGAATAATTTATTGAAATTGGGAATTCAAAGTTACTCATTGCCTCAGAAGATATTTACTGTCGAAAACATAAATATCAAGATTACCTGCATTTAGAGAAAATATTACATAGGACGCAGAAATACATTAAAAAGGTCAATGTGAAAGTCATTACAGTTACATTAATATTTCGCATTCGCATTAAGTCTTCTAAACAGGTTTCAAAACTTTTCCTGACACGGTGGCAATAAAAAACGAAGAATTATTTTTTCGGCAGAATTCGGCCGTTCTATTAAGTGCTCTTGAATCATACACGTAGACACATTGAAAGTCAATGTCAAAAGATTTAGTTCGATGTTTTACGATGCTCTGATGTATTCATAAGTTTTTGCAATTTGGTGTTGTACTTTTTTCTATTAAACCCCTCAAAGTATTCATCATATACAGTATACGATTCCTTCTGTCGCACTAAAATGCGAATCTTAATAAAAGCTTCGAGTTTTTTTTTACTTACCAAATCGAATTTCGAACAGTTCCGTTGAGCTGACGATGAGGTGCGGCTCGTAAATTATCTCAAGTCTTTCTTGACAATGTGACGATGTATTTTTTTCCACTGTTTGCGTCAAATCCCAGAGATTTAACCGTTGGTCAACTCGCGAAAACACGTTCGAGTTGAAATCACGACGTCGCGTTACTTGTATAGAAACTTCACGTCATCAATTCACTCAGATCACAAGTGAATGTGTGCCTTTTCAGCCATAATTTGACGAACAGCAGGCAGAAAAATATAACTCGTTTGGAAAATTAAAAACAATGGTTTTTCAAGAGCGCGATCTCTGGAAAAAAATCCAGTTCTTGTCAATGACAAGTTTACCTCATTTAAATTATAGTTTTTGCGCGCAAAACAGACGACCAAATCGAACGTGTTTCCAGTCTCGATAAGACAATTAACGAATCGTTCGTATGTAGTCTCAGCTACTCATTTATCAGGAAGCGGCACGTGGAAAAAAAAAACAAGACAAAAAAGATAAACGAAAAAAACACATGATAATAAGGAAACGAAGCGAGTAATATTGGGGAAGACTTCACTTGATCGATCACGTCGCACGTTGACAGGGAAAGCTCACGTTTTTACCCGGCCTAGTGCATTCCTTTTCGATCACCGATATACCATAACGTTGATCGACACAGTATCACCATGGGGGCACGGTCACAAAATCACGCGATTGGAATTCCTTAGACTCAATCAATCCCGAAGAACAGGATGTCATCGATCCCGACAACCGCGTCAATGACAACGCATCAAGATGAAAATGACAGCAATTACGCTCGAATCCTGTTCCATCGATTCCTTGGCACTGAGGATTACACTTTCTTCTCTGTCCGAAACTTGTTCGAATTCGACGTGCATTTTGTTAGCGTGAATCGTTAAATTTACTACATCCATGCACAGAATAAATGTGAAGCACGATTGATTTCCTAAGAACGGCCTGCTGTCTGCATGCCAAGCTTTCGAATTTTGCAATACTTCGGGGTTGTTCTATAAAATCATTTTACAATGAAGGATTAATATGTTACGACACAAATTTCGATGCAAGGGATTTTTACTCGCACAAATGCATACCGATACCATTCAATACGCGAGCTCGTCTCCAAAAATGAGTCTTCAGAATATATTTTTTTATAAACTCTCAAAAATGGAAGCCTCTTTAATTTAAAAATCTCAAGGTCACGCGAGCACGGTTTGATTTAAACCGCATACAAAAAATGTCGACATCAAAAGCTGTTCATTGAAATTCGATGGAGGATCTTGCGTGAAGCATACGAAATTCAAGAGTTTTTTATCTTCGAAAAATCTATTCGCACTTCTAAGCAAGAGTGCAGTGTGAACAAAATAAATATTTTTAGATTAGAGTATCCCCGAAAAACGTTGTGCAATCATTTACCAAAAGCGTGAAAATGTACAAAATTTTTTCTAATCTTTCAAATATTGCAAAAATGAAGATTTTCAGTTGCGTTTGCATGGAAATAGGAAAAAATTACCCCAGACTTCAGAGAGTAAGGTTAAAAAATTGTTTATCATGAGAATTGAAACATAATATTTGTCTGAGTTACGCAAGCCTTCGATTGGTTTTAGAGCAGTTATATAGACAAGCAAAAATGATATTCGAATAATGTTATCCAGTTGTCAAAAAAAAATAAGTATTTATTCAACCGTCTGTTCACTTTTTTATTGGGATGGTGAAAGAGAAAGTGATGGAAGCTTATGTTAGGGAAAAAACTCAATTTATATTTCTTTGCACCCTTGATAAAAAAAAAACGAAAAAAGTTTGAAAATGATCTTCCCGTTTTTTGAATGATTCGTTTGAAAAAAATGAACAGAAGCCAATTTTAGGAATTTCTGATTTTCCCATGATGCGCGGATGTGCCACAAATAAGAAGCTGGTTCAGAATATTTACGAACTTATTTGCACTGACTCTTGAAGCGAGATAGATGACCAAAAAAACGGAAGCAAATGTCTTGAAAAAAGAAATTGCATACAGTTCCACGTGGAATCCATAAACATGTAAGTCATCGTTACGAAACTTGAAGCGACTTCGGACAGGACCATGATGGAAACCCTCACAGCCTCCGACTGAGGTGATATTTCACGCGTGCTTCGAACTCAAGATTCTCCCTCAGAAATCCGCGACACGTCGGAACAAGGAAAACAACACAGGAACACGTGTGAGCGGGAATGTCAAGATCCCAATTGCATAATGCACAAATAATCTGTCTACGTTCCTCCTATACATGCGTTGCGATTAGAAACAGCATCAGGCAGAGTCGCCTGAATAGAACTGTGAGCACGACGCCGTGTTCGTGCGTCAGCTGTCACCTTAGCTATTCGGTCGTATACTGTCACTCCGCTTTTCGTGGGCGCTCAAAGAGTCCAGAGGCGGCTTGCTCGTATTCACTGACTTAAGTGTGACTAAAGGTTCAAGTTGAGTGGTATACATACACGAAACACGAATGTGTTGAGGCGGTGAGCGCCTGGCTGGCCTGATACGTGAGAGACCTTGAATGATGTACAGTACGTTAAAGCTGTCCTCGGGAGGATTTGGGATTGGGTCACACGAAATTTCTCGAATCACTGCTCATCATTTTTCGAGGATGAAGGAAACTCGAGCCTTTCCACAACAAGAAGACGAGGATATTTTGGAAACTTCCGGCTCTAACTGATGCGCGATGATTTAGTCAAGAAATTTGACCGACTGCCTTAAGAGAAGACCATGACTAATTTGAAGATATGCAAGCAATTTTTGACACGAAGGGATTATTATCGAACCTCGATTAAAAACAATTGAAATTGCAGCTGCGACCCGCATTCAAGGCCACAACGTCCGAAAGTCATAATATATTTACAACTGCTACAAGAAGTTGGGTAAAATATTGAAATGACGACAGAAAATCAGTAGTGAAAGCGATTGTCCTGCTTCCTTCCCTCAGTAACACGTTTCTTTTAAAGAGTTTGCGATGGTTTTTTCATTCACAGGCATTGTTTTCCTTGAAATTGTACATTGTACGCACTCCAAAGCATCCATGAAATTTACAGAATTTTCGTGGAATTTCTAGGGGTAAACGCGTTGTGTTTGAGATTCAAATTTGTCAACCCTGTTACTTGAAAAATTAATTTTCAGCAATGCCTGCCACATAGAACTCATTAACAGGGGCAAATATCAACATGCTGTGGGTCATAGCATAAATTCCGATCCGATGGGTATGATGGTATATAGATCCTGGACCCAAGACTGAGTGGAAAAGAAAGTTTGCTTTCATTGCCAAAAAAAGAACGGATGTTGCAGAGTACAATACAGTACAGTACAATGAAAACCACATTAGTTTCCCTTTCTTTTTCACACTGTGCCTCTCATGCTTGCACGCTTTTCCTTTTTCCGCCGGAACTTCCTTTCCTGCGATTTTGAGCAGTCAACGACTCACGTGGCTGAACGAGCCGAGGTCAAGGTAGTGAATTCATTGAACTGAAAGTTCATGTTCTACATCCAGTCGGTGATATCAGGAATGTTCTTTACTACAAACTTCAAACCACACATGAAACAAATAATAATACTCTACAATATAATAATATTATGCAGTTATATTATAGGATGTTAAGTTTTGAGAATAACATTATATTCACGCAAAGAAAAAAAAGGCCAATTCGGTTTTTGTGCATTATGTCGTTCAATTCGAGCTCTGATGGTACAAATACAGACCATTCTAAAATGTTAACTAAAAAATCTTTTGCAATTGCCTCTCGATAATGCCTCGTTTTCTTTTCCCGAAAAATGCCAAATGTATTCCAAATTTTAATTCAGGGAAATTGAATGCGCTCATATAGTAACCAAAGCCCTTTCATGCATATAAAGCTGAACCGGGCCGATTTAAAATTCTTCCATAATTATACGCGGGATTCAAAATTAATACAGCAATTTCGAAAAAAAATTGCTTTTCGAAATCTGATTTTTATTGACCCACATATCATTTATGAAATTGTGACTCGGTAGCTCACACAATTTTTAAAGACAATTTTTTATTCAGAATCGTTAAATGAAATTCGAACGTAAAGACGTTTTGGTGCCATAAAATCAGGAAAAATTAAGCCACAAAGAATGCGGCTTCTTTTTAGGGCAAGGATCACAGGTTGAATCATTATTTTTTCATTGTTTCTATCCATAAATAAGTCGATAAAAACATCCCTCAGTCATATACAGTATTGAATAAATGCTTCATGAAATTTAACAGCTTCGATTCAGGGGAGATCATGAAATTGTTTGGTGCGTGTGTAGCGAAGGATGAAACAGGCCTGCAGCTCCGTAAAAATGCGTTCCTTAAAAAAAATTAACTGGTTTCGTGACGAAGCCAGAGGAAAAAGAGTTTAAAAAATTCAGCGGAATGTCTACGACCTTGGTGCATGGGACCCTTCGTCATTAATTTTCTGATTCACAAGGTTTCAAGGCATCAAACGGTCTGTCACTGCGAGTGCCAAGGCAAATGAAGAAAAAGTCGCAGGATTCCAAGCCACGCGACTGCCAAGAACGCGACGGTAAAATGACGAGAAGAAATAGTTTCGAGGTGCTGGCTTTCACGGTATTTTTTCCCCATTTCCTTAATTGTAAATTGAAATAAGTAGGCTTTCTCGTTCCTAAATGAATACCGCATTCACTCGACCATAAGACACAATTTCGTCACTCAGTCGGCTGGAAAGCATCACGATGAGTCCAATTCAATCGATTGGGTCCAACATTTTCGCAGTGTTTCGTACAAAATGCAAATAAACCAAGAAATCCACTTCACAGCGATCCTTCCGCGATTTTTAGTTCAAGTGCACCAGATATTTGATTGCGGATTTTTTGTTGAATTCGGGGAAATGATGTGACTAAAGCACCAATGTAATCATCAGTACCCCCTGATTCCGAAGAAATTTAGAAAAAACAATTACAAATTGGCTTATATTTTTATAGGGTAAATCGTTTTCATTTCTAATCAAGAAAAATTAGAAAGCGCTTTGTAATCATCGACGTCTCGTTATTTAGTTCTGCCTTTCATATATTTTTCAGTCGAGAAACCACTTCCAAGCCTCTTTCGATATTATTTACAAATAATAAAAAAATCTGTGCATCACCTTTCCAGTTTATGTTCAAAAATTTCCTTCAAAGAATATGCTCATGTTTACCACTAATAATGCATCCCAGCAATGCTGTTGTTGCAAAAAAAAGGTCCAGCTCTACTATACAGGATATCGGTAGGACTTTTTATTTGCCAATCACAACTTCACTTTCTTGACTTTACTTCACGCACACGCA